CCTTTACAATCTCATGATGCCATAATTCATTTCAGTATTGCACAAGAACCGTTCTCATCGCTCCATCTCTGTGGAGGGTATCCTCTTGGGCATATTCCGTCTTTGGCTACCACTCTGTTGTTAACCTTGAGCATCAGCCACTGTCCTAATGTATAAAGTAGTTAATTTGCTGAATGGTTAGCTTATTGCATTTTTTTTATTTCTAACTTCTTTTTTGTCAAAACAACATGAAGAAACATTTCATCTGTAGGCACCGACAGGGCGACAACCAAGCTCGATGTGCGATGCAGTCGTAGCAGAACTTTGTGGTTATCCATCAATTGTACAACAAATTGAGTTGTCCTGCAGAAGGAAGGAAGGGACGGTTAGGTACAATAGGCGAAACAAATTCCAGTGGATCTGCAAACTAAGTGTTTTCTTTCCAAATGCGCTTAAGGACTAAAAGCAACACCCATCTCAGTTGTAGGACTTAACGGGGATTTAGTTTTTTTGCTTCTCGTGCTTGCACTCAGGTCCACGTGCACTATTTATTTATTTACTCGTTTAAGGCTCTTAAGAGGAAGAGCTTAAATCATAAAAGGAAAAGCTGTGATCAAAGAAATGTAAGAAAAATGCGTGGACCATGGTCCATAATAAATATATCACCATGCGATAAATATCAATGTTTGGTGACAGCATACAGTATTGAGCGTCGTAGTTTAACTCCATAACCATTAACAAAACTCAACAGTTTTTGGCTTGTATGGTTCATAAACTTGTCAAATCAAATGGTAAGAACTCATATAAAATGTGGTTTCTAGGATGATTAACAACACTAATATTTTTCACACCTTTACTTAAAAACAACATGCTGGCTAAGTACAGTTTGTAATAGGTTATAACATTCCATTGGTTGCATACAAAGCGGGGTGCAGTGGTGGTGCAGCGGTTAGCACATGCTGTTCAATTCCCTGCCAGGGCTAACATCAGTGGAAATTATTTCTGAACTGGTCCTGGGCTACTCCTTCTTCATGAACCTGCATGGACCTGCGTGGTGAAATATGATCAGATAACCCTTACGCCCAGCGTGGCATGGGGACGCTCTCTCATCCAACGGTGGATTGACAAACGACCACTTTGCATGTACCTACACACATGCGTGTACGTACACACATATATTAATGTATGTGTACTGCTGGGGAGTGGTGGTGTAGTGGTGAGCATCGTGCGCTATGAACCCAGCGCCTGAGTTTGATTCCCGCCACTTGGAAACAAAGGCGGCCGGGCGTGGTGCTGGCCATCCACCACCTCGTGTACCGTGCCGGCCTTCATAGGTGCTCGCTAACAGCACTTGCCCCTACAGTCTGTTAAGGCTATAGGGTGGATCTTTGTCTCTTTGTGTACTTACATATATGTATGTACACATATATACCAAGCGCTGAATGATTTCGTTCCTCCATGAAGTTGTCATCTTTTGAAACCATACAAACCATCTCGAAATGTCACCAACTAACAATACCTGAAGTTGGAGGCTGCCCGGACCATGCCACCGGTGCTTTCGCCTGCATTGCACTGAGACGTTGGGACACACTGCTTGTGCACGTCAACAGGACCACGAGTGTTGCTGTCTTTAAGACATCTAAAGGCTCATTCTTTCACGTTCGCTTTTCAGGAATGAATCACATTTCATTGCACGAGAATGTTACGTTGTTTCATTGATTTAGTGTTCCAGCACATTTGATGAAATTGTAGTTTGCCATCTTTAAACAATTTAAACTTCGGCCTGCCAATCTACTAACTGTGGCATATATAAATTTATACTGCTGGTGGGGGATTTGATAAACTTGCACCATTGCTTCGTCTGCCACGCCAAGAGTTCGAATCGAATCAGCAGCCGCTGCATACTTTAGAATACGTTATTATACTGCATTCTCATATGTTTTAAAATTTTAACAACCTGCAGATTTAGCTGCACTAGAGACAGCGGGTCTGTGACACGCTCACCATTAGTTATTCGCAAGACAATGCTTATATCTGGAACGTGGTTTGACATTCCGCAGCGCCGAGGGGCTTAGCTTGAAACGTGACTTTCGCTCGCCACACTGACTCTTGCAACACACTTGAGCAATTCCCACCTTGCTAAGGAAACAGAGCATCAGCCCCGCCATGTATGCATACATATGCAAACACTGCATGGGTCTTTACGAATGCTCCTCCGTCAAATGTATTTACACTTCAACATCACACACACATATATACTCAATACAAGTGGGGCGAATGCTGTTAGTAAACACCTATTATGGGTATAACTGCATAGAATAGGGCGGTGTGGCCCACACCGCCCGGCTGCTTTTGTATGCCTGGTTATGACGTTTACATACTGCAACACGCACTCATTTAAGATGGACCTAATCTAAAGGAGGCCTATGACAGCTTCCAATACCACCTTACCACTGATGTTATGTACCCTTGCCAGGAGGCAAACCCAGTTCATACAGCATTCAAGTGCAGTTTGCGAACCACTGCTCTAGCGATGACCAAATACACACTGATACCAACTAGTAGTGGGGGGTTAGTTATACATTGATTTTAAGAAAAGGATGATTTGTCTTAACTGCTTATGATTAAAAGAAAGGTAGTCAATGTCGAAAGGTCATGCAGAAGTCTGATTTGAGATTGCAATCAATGCATGCCAACACATCATAATCCTCAACAGTGATCTGCCCGCTGCTGGATGAAGTCCTCCTCGACCTCTGAGCATCCCTCAGGGTCTAGAGACACACAACACTCCATCTAGCTCCTGCACACGAGTCATTCGAATCGCTCCATTTCCAAGGTGGATGTCCTCTTGGGCACGTGTTTCCTCCCTGTGCTTTCCTTTATTGCGATCATTGATTTTCATCTACGGACCAGTTCAGTAAAACACTCGACACTGAGAATGAGAATAAAATAATAAAATAATAAAATAAAATAACACAATAAAATTCTCACGACGTATCGGCCACAACACAAGTGGCCTTCTTCAGGTGAAAGGAACAGACCTGTCGGGACGACAGAGCTTCAATGAACGTTGTTAAGATTCGTAGCATTTTTTAAGCTGGTTTAGAGAAGTGAGGCACCTTGACAAAGGGGTTTACATATCAAACAGGAGAATTTAGCATTGAAATAGCTGAGGGATTAGCTTGTGACTTGTCACAGAAATGACTATGTTAAAGTCAAAGCCTACACATCCACAGAGGCACCGAGTACAAATCAAACAGGAGAATTTAGCATTGAAATAGCTGAGTGATTAGCTTGTGACTGGTCACAGAAATGGCTATGTTAAAGTCAAAGCCTACACATCCACAGAGGCACCTAGTACAAATCAAACAGGAGAATTTAGCATTGAAATAACTGAGGGATTAGCTTGTGACTGGTCATAGAAATAGCTATGTTAAAGTCAAAGCCTACACATCCACAGAGGCACCTAGTACAAATCAAACAGGAGAATTTAGCATTGAAATAGCTGAGTGATTCGCTTATGACTGGTCACAGAAATGGTTATGTTAAAGTCAAAGCCTACACATCCACAGAGGCACCTAGTACAAATCAAACAGGATAATTTAGCATTGAAATAACTGAGGGATTAGTGACTGGTCATAGAAATAGCTATGTTAAAGTCAAAGCCTACACATCCACAGAGGCACCTAGTACATGGACGCCAAAGGGGCTGCAACACCTCAACTATCATACCGAAAGAACCAAAGAAGATTCATCCTTGCAGTCACGAAAGCTTTAAATCGAAACTCGACACTGATTTTAGCCAATACAGGGATATACACTCGTAGGGTTCATAGTGCAGAACGCTAACTACTTCTCCCTTCCTGTCCAGTTAGTATGTCAACTAAATACGTTATGTAAACAGACAGGCAACAAAGCTTATGTCACATACATGAAACTAAATACGCTTATTTGTTTTAGCACATTTCTTATATCCCTATTTGTTAGTTCAGGTCAGATGAGGTCACCTTGACAGCAATAGCACGCCTGGGCTAAACAGTGACATCGCCACTCACACTGTGTGTAGTGGCCTGACTTTACCCGACAGTTGTGTGTGTAAACACGCTGTCACTGACCTGCTTGTCCTCACAGCTAATGTAATTTTCCTTTTCACGAGAGGTTAGCAGGTTCAGAGAGTGTTTGCTGCTTTGAGCAGAAAATTGTGCGTCACCACACATTCCCCCCCCCACCAGCCCCTTGCACAATAGAAATGTCTCCACGTTAATCCTAGAAAGTGGCCTGGATGCGGTGCGGCGAGTAAAGCCACGGGCATGGCCCGCGGTTGTGAGCTCCAAGCTCGTGCAGGGTTAACTGAGCCCATCGTTTCTCTGGGGTTGGTAAAATGAGTCCACCATCTGGAGGGTGGACCTCTTGGTCCGCGTCAACAAATGGTTCCCCCGTGGAGTAACTGGGTTCCGAGTGAGCGTTCAACGAGCAGAGCAATTCATCCATCAAAACCATTGCCTCCGCTTACGATGCGTGTCCGTGAGACGTCACACACGAGATGTGTCCCTGCTGATGCATTTGACATGCTGCTCTGCACCATTATCGTCATCATAAGCCGTGGTCAATCCACTGCTGGATGAAGGGCCTCCCCAAGGCGCCGTCAGCTCTCATGATCCTGACACGGTAACAATCCGCCACCTGCTGATCTTACGTTAAAGATAATGGAGCACACGGGACTGTACAGACAGGACAGTACGATAAAGACAATGCAAATTTAGTGCTAAAAATGTGCCGATAAAAAGTATTATTGAGCCGTATTGTGACAATTTCTAAAAAATATCACCACATGCCCAGTCTTCTAATAAAGGAATATTGAATTCCAACCACAACTCACGCCTGCACGTAGCATTTGTTTGACACTGACCTTTTGACCTTGGAATTTATAAGAGTGTTTCGTCTAATTTACAGGAGTGATATGTGAATAGTTGCTTGCTCGAGTTCATACATTAATGCATAATTCAACTTTCTTGTAACAGAACATCCTGTCATGATGGATGGGGAAGTCTTGGAGTGTCCCCAAGGCTTCAGAAAGGAGAACTCCACTCACTGCAGAGGTAAACACTCACAAGCCGATCAATTTTATGGTACACACGGAAATTCGTTTTTATTTTCACTCATTTCATCACAATCTGCACTTTCTCTCTGTAACACACGCACACCACTTTAAGAGCATGCTAAGTACATGGAGAAAATGGCTCTTTAGATGTATGCAAATCATTTACATGGGCTCTGTTACATGTGTGTGTCGTTGAATATTTCATTATTGTACTGTAAGTAGCTAAGTTGTGATCATTTGTTGTAGTTTCTATGGGTGCAAAAAATTAGTCTATTGGTTCATGAATACCCTTTTTCTAAATTGACAATACATGCCATGCACCGCGTGCATAACAATCAATATTTTAGATTCATATACATGATATGCAACTTTGTCACGTGACAACTCCAGCTGCTAGTAGCCAATGCATTCACTGCAACGTTAAACTAGACATCGATTCTTGAATGGAATCATCTCCCTGAATCGTGGTAATTTGGAGTAATTGGGATGGTGGCAAAGGGGGCCGTGGTGAATCGTCACACCCCCAGGAGTTGTCGTGGTTCCGATCCCGACCCTAACGCCTGTATATTTAGAGTTAATATCTTCTCCTCTGGTTTATCCCTCCACAATTAGAAAAATGCGTTTCGAGTATTTGACTGCCATAGGTTTCCACGTGATAAGCCACTTCGTCGAGCTATCATCTGTGGCCAGGTCGCTTCTGAAAAGAGCTATGTAGCTCAGTGGGCCCTCCCTGGTAGAATAAAGATAGTAGAAGTTGTCGTTGTTTGGCCAGGTGACTTCAGCAGCAGAGCGAGCAGTTAACAACATGAAGGCTACGGGATCTAGTTGTGTTTGGGGGGTTGACTCAGCCCACCACCCCTCTGAGGTGAACAAAACGAGTCCCACTATATGGAGATGTAAAAACCTGGTCGCATGGATAGACTTGCCTGCCGCACCCATAGTGATGAGAAGTTTACACCACTGGCTCAGGGCTGTAAACAGAAGATGAGCACTGCCTCAGTGTTTAATTGAGTAGGAAATCACTTTGACTCTGGGCTATTTAGGGTGAACACCGCTCACGCAGCTGTGCCATTACCGAAACGTTGTTGTTATTTTTTGTGGGGCCCCGACTAAGATGCCCAATAAATTCAGCGTAATCGGCAATTGTAGGGTCAACAGCGATGAGAGGAAACAAACAGACTCTCGGGGTATGAGATTGCCTTCAAAGGTACAGAGCATTTTCATTTACATCTCCACGTGGAGGCTAACATATTTAGAGTCCAGGGCAGCCGACTCAAGAACCTGACACGGGTACATTACCCCCTGAGCAACCTGTCACCTCTCATTGACTCTTGAATGTATACAATGATAAGATCAACAATGTTGCGGAGTTGAGTCAGGGGATGTATACACACTGTGGTGTAACGGGGTCAACCTTGATTAAGTGCAAAAATCTGATTTCAACTCAAGCTACGGACATGTAAAACAAAATATTGCGAGAGTTTCAGTGGGAGAAGAAATGGAATGGCGTGTTGACATTATGCAACGTGGGTCAAGTTTCAGTATCTGGGATCTGCCTTCGTGGATGGGGGTGAGCTTCTTGGTAACAGCAAGAATCCATCTTCGTCACTCTACACACAGAAGCCCGTTTGTATTAGAGAGAGAAAGGTTAATGGCATAGCTTGAGTGTTTCTGTTTCAATCGCCAAGGGAGCTGAAAGGCAATATGATAAAAAAAAAAAACTCCATGAGGTCTTTCTTAAGCTCCTATGACTTACTTTACACATAAAGGTTCTTCACGGATAAAACTGAGCGTGCGCTCGATTCAGCTTACATGGAGGGAGATAAAGGTCCCTCGCTCGGATCAGTTGGAGCAATTTAGGCGTAAGCGGACACCGTGGGCGCGGAACGAGGTATGCTGATTGTTTTCGGCCACTGCTCGAGGCCGCGAACTCGTGCCCCACCTTGTCAATCCGACGGTGGTGGTGACGACGCGACACGAGCCGGGGCACGGCGCGGCTGGATCCTTGGAGCTGCTGTTCACAACAGATTCCACCATGCTCCCCCCCACCGCCAACCCCCTCTTGCCTGCTCACTCCCACTAACCCCCCCCCCCCCCCCCCATTTCCTGCTGCCCCCAGCTTCTTACGCTGCCCCAATTCCTCCCCACCCTCTTCTCAATGTTGCACATGCGTTCGCTTGATGCAGTACAGTACCTCTAAAATCCCTCACTGACATTAATTTGTATTCCCTCACTCTTGGGTAAAGCCAGAGTCAAAGTCTCAGCATCTCTCTTGAGTTATCTGCCTAAGGCGTCAGGGCCTTCGTTCAACTTTTCTCCATGCTCTCTCCTATCTTGTACTTTTCAATTGTATTTATGCTGAACTTCTTTCGCACCATACGTAGCCACCCCCCCCCCCCACCATTCCTCTTTTTTTCCAAGAGTCCTCTTAGAGCGTCCTTCAGGAACCCTTCCCCGCTGACATTTTGCCCAATCCATATATTTTCCCTCATCTGAATTGTTCCAATCATTTTCCCTACTCCTTCATTCTAGAGCTTCTTTCACCAGGCTTTCTCCTCTGACAATGTGTCCAATCTGGATGTTCTACTCATCCCTGAATTATTCCAATCAGACTTCACATTGTTGTTATTGGGCATGAAGCAGTGCGTGAGGATTCCATTCGACAGAGGTGTTGTGCTGGGGAAGCCAGGGGAGTTGTTTTTAGAGGCAAGAGGTGATAGGCTCGCTGAGCTTATTTGGTTTCCGGATGCCGAACGGATATGTTATGAGGTCGCACTTATGACACACAAACTGCTTGCCACAAATCAGCCACAATACCTTGCTGATCTCGTCAAGGAGCAAAAACCATCACGTCAACTCCGATCATGATCACAGCAGCGGCGTTTGGCTGGCCATTGAACAAAGACGGCTACCGGGTCATTCGCTTTCAGATGCGGCCGCTTGGAACTTTCTTCGATTGAAAACTCATTTCTTTAGAGCTGCTTTTTGTGTTCAGTTTTGTTGTCCTTCTACCGCACCTCCAATTATCACGGTTGGCTACGTCCGGCGATAAATAAGTTTAAGATACATGCATACAAGGTCGGTGGATTGGGATCGCAGGAATTGGAAGAGGGGGTCGTTTTATTTTACCTCAGACCGAACAGCTTTCTTAACCTTTCACCCCACACAGAGGGGCGTCTGGAAAAGTCACACGGATATTTCCACAGAGTCGTGTGGTAATAGCATTATGAGATGTTTGGAGATCAATTCAGTTTGCTTTAATTTAATACCTCTGACCAGTCACGAATTTAGCATTCAGTGAATCTTTTCAAGTAGGGATATGGGTTATGATTAAAGCTACGTGATCATTGATAGAATATTTATGATCACAAAGGGCTCGTCATGAGCTTGATTCTAACGACTACTGTATGTTGGACTATGTCTCTGGGCGTCACACAAGACTAAGACTACCGACATGGAAGTAACAAAAGACGAGTGATGGACAAAACATGATCGTAGTAAAACTTGGCAAAATACGTGTGCTAAGCCACAGGTAATTGAAAAATAAGTTCTCGAAATGAACAGAGAAAGCGTTATTGATTATGGAAGTGGGTCACTTGTACAGCCCCTTGTACAAGGGTCATTACTTCGTGAGGCATTGTTTCTTTTTATGGAGGTCTTCACATTTTTGTCACAATTCCAGCTATTAGCTGTGCTCATCTTTGTGTGGCTTAGTGATGGAAATAAATGTGCGCTCATACATACCATGAAAATGCTCACTTGTTAAGCCAGTTCAGTTACATAATTTGCATTTGTTCAAATGGAATTTTTCTTCGTTGGGTTCCACACCCAGAATGCTATGGTCGTGCAACCAGTCTTAAATGAATCTTGGCAACAAAAATGACGTCGTCCTTTACAGAACACAGCCGTAGCTTGTCTGAAAAGGACCCGCCTGAAGCCCGGACACAGGCCACTGGGATTTTGGTATTTTCTGGCGAAGGCTTTGTACACAAGCCGATCGTGTCTGGCCTGAAGCCATTAATAACGTGAGCAAGGGCCCTTACAACGCTCAATCAGCGTGGAACAGAAGCAAAGAATCCGTGCTACCATGGGCTCATCAGCCACATTCCGGGCGAAATCCATAATTCATTATGTTATAGCAACGATGGTTATTTTATAAGGTCCGAAATTATTTTTTTAATATGATACCGCGTTGGCAGGGGTGCACAAGCACCAATAACAACAAGTCTTCACATTGATCAATAACACGGCCAGAAGCAGATACAAAATTCGTAATAGGTGACGTTTTGAGCAATAGCCCTTCTTCATAGCGGAGAGGTAATGTCTCTGTTTATTATAATGGTGCTGTTAAAAAGTCCCTACCAGAGCAACACTTTTGTACACGCGTTAACAATTCCTGCTCACTTTTAAAGTCTCAAGCCCACGATTTGTTTTGTTCCATACAAAAAAATGCGTTCAATTTACGTTTACGAGTCGTGTTCTTTTAATCCTGCAACTTTTAAACGCAAGTCGCTTGCCTCGCTTACGTTGACAAACGTTATGCCCCTGCGTCGGATCCACCCTCCACAAGTGCCATTCCCTGCCAGCGTAAATCAATTTGATCCTTGCGGTTCGGCATCGGCTTGCCTTTACCTTTGAAGTTTCCATTGCGGCCGTCGTGATTTTCAAGCGCACGGCACCGTTGGCTTCCTCGCAAATGTTTTCGGCTAAACGCTGGGTCTATAATTCAGAATCTGGACCATAACTGTCACTAAATAACCATTTCGCGAGCCCGCAAGGCTGCGCTAAAGCCCCCGAGATGAAAGAAGAGGCACGTGGGGGAGCGTCCCGTTTGAAAGTTACTGCATGCCCTTTCCTAAGCCCTCCTGTGTTGTACGAATCTTAAAATAGATCGTTATGTGCTCGCAAAAGCAGATTCATCGCTGCGGGAAGACTCTTTTGCCGCCCTAATGAATACATGTCTGCATTCGTTAAGTCTGTTCATGGTTTGAAAGTTCTCGGGTACGTGATTGCCACAAGCTCACGCTGGAAGGAATAAATACACTTACATTCGCAAACTAATATATGAAACATGTAGTGGTGTTGTTGTGTGCAAAGTATAAACAAACCACGACCGTGACATCCGCTTAGTCTACAAATTACGGCAAGCACCGTCATCTTTGGACACGTTCAATCGAGCACACATTCATGTTTGATTAATTTTCGTGTAATATGTAACTAGATTTTGTATGTAATGTTTGCCGAAAGATTGTTTTTCTGTCGAGATATGCAGGCCGTACTTTGTCCTTCTCTTATGAACGACGCCAGGAAGATTGCAGATGAATTCCCTCCAGCATCGATAAAACTAAGTACCATTTTGTGGGATTTCAACAGTGGTTGTCAAATGGAAGGACTAGCCCCCTGCCATGGGAATGTAGAAATTCCACCAATGACCGTATAATACTTTAAAATGTTTTATATATGTAAAAAAAGTATTTTTTAATAAACGTGCACATTCCATTCTCAGCCGGGTGGTGGTGCACGCCTTCATTCCAGTACTGTGGAGCCAGTGAGGGTTTGTGGATCGCACACAAGTTTTTAAATTCCCTTCCCGTGGGTGTCGAAGTGCAATACCCCTGGCTTTCCAGGAAAATGCAGCACATAAAACATGTGGACTCCACCTGTTCTGACTGTATGGGATTGAGTTTTTTCCCCCTTGCACACCTAGAGTTTCTCCAGGTCCTCTGGTTTCCTCCCACACGTTAAACACTCGTTAATTGGCCACAAACACCATCATATATAGAGGACCGAAGAGCTTGGGTAATTTTTTGGCGCCAGCTCACCGATTGGCTGCCTTCCTGCTTCTCTGTGGTTCCTCCCCGCACCTCTGTGTCATTCTCCTTCTTCGAGAGCGAGCGAATACTGTGCCATGTTACGTGTTGAACTTATTATTATTATTATTCTTACATACATTTACATTGATTAGTACGGATCTGTTTCGTGTTGCTTGCTCACGCGACACGTGCGTTTGTGTTCCGCAGACATCAACGAGTGTCAGTTCCGCGGCATCTGTCCCAATGGCACGTGCATCAACCAGCAAGGCAGCTTCAGATGCAGCTGCATGGAGGGGTACTTGTGGGACTCCTTTGGCCAGGAATGCATGTGTAAGCCACACCACATCACAATTGCCACTTTATCTGGGGCATGCTCGCTTATTCTCTGAGGTTTAAATTTCTAACGGGGCTTGTTTCTAGATGCGAGCAAAATTGTTCACTTCCGATAGAACTGCTGGAATTGAAATTCCTCAAACACACAGGTGCATACCTTCAACTGCATCGGAACATCAACAGGCTGATAGGCACATCTGCTGCATAAACAAGCCACAGTGTGATTGTGGCCATGTGAACCAAAACTATGGGCCACATATTAAAGCATTGTGGTCTGTGCTCCTTCATTGTAAAACACCGGTGTACTATCAACAACATCAGAACATCAACCACAGTGCGATTGTGGCCACGCGACACTCTGGACCATAAAGTAAGCCACCAAAATCTGCGCTCGTTCGACTGAGGAGCAATTGCGAAACGACATGAACTCTCTCTAGAAGAAGCCCTCTCGTCATGAGCAGACCTCGACATTGCATTTAGCCCCTGAACATATTTTGACATGCAAGAATAGAATAGGAACTATTGACATTTTACCAAACAAATAAAATGAGCAGTGCAGCTCAAACATTCATGGAAATGTTCGGCAACTTCAGAGAGGACCATTTCATTTATTTATTTATTATATAATTTGAGTTGGGTGAATTTACAGGTGGGTCACAGGAAATGTTGGTTTTAGATTGCAGTGTTTAAGTAGTTATTAAGGTGTATATTTCCCAAGGCAAATTTAATTTAGGGTTATTTAAACAAAGTTTGTGGCGTTTTCAGCCCAGGTGGCAAAGAGGGAGGCATGTAAATCTTAAGGGCAAATAACAATTGTCAGTTAAAGTGGCTTAAACAGATTAACTTCATATCCACACTTACAATATAAAGAACAATGTAGACTTAGGTACATCAGAGTACTCTGACCAGTTTTGAAACTCATCACATTCCGCAATCTTTCACAAACTTCTATGTTCAATACAAAATGGTACACACTGCACGTACCTGATGATTGTCCAACATGTCCTCTATGACATAGAGAGAGCGGTGATGCAATTTAAGATGTAGATCCTGTGTTGTGTACACCCGTATCTCGTACGATATACAGCACTGACAGAAGTAAAAATCATCTATCTTCATTTCAAGAAACATACTGGGGGGACGTGTATCAATCATCAGGTGCATGCAGCACTTAACAAAAGCATATGAACGTTTTGGCGGTACACCGGTGCGCGCTATAAAAAAAGCAAAATTTTTGCGATAATTATTTATTTGCAACCCCAGTCAGAAAATATTGCGGGGTTCGTCAAAATCAGTTCTCGTAATGTTCGAAGCAGTCCGAAAACGAATGTTATGAGCTGCTGAAAACAAAGCTTCACAGTCTGTTGTCGTATGGCACCCAGCCTGATGACGATTGGCTCAGTATTCCAAAGGCAGACTTGACTCGTGCCCTCGACTTGGTCGGAAGTGTCCTCGATTCAACGGACTCAAATCGACGGTCACTATTTAACTTTTTTTTAGGAATTCTCGGGAGGCTGAATAAACCTTCGAATCGTGTCATACTTGGCGGCAGAGTCAAATAAAGACGTACAGACAGATTTGTTGATTCGAATTTAGATTTTAGACTGTTTTTTGAGGACTGGTATGTTATGCTGCACCGGTGTACCGCCAATACATCCACATGCTGTTTTTGAATGGAGACGATTGCCAAACGTGGAAAGGCGGACGGCGGTGGCTACGGGCACTGGAGTGTTGGAGACCCCCTCGCCTACAGCAAACCATGAAACTATAGGTCCTGAAACGACACACGATAGGTGCACATGCTACTACTTAAGCAGCCGTCAACCAAACAAAAAATCCCCCCCCCCATACAATTACTGTACCTATGTGCAGAGTTCAAATTAGGGGCGTCACCGGCAAGACGGTGGAGCCTATAACTTAGCTTCCCTGTGGAGACGAGATGATTCACCTCTAATTGCTCCCAGCTGACCACCGCCCAACGGCACCGCAGGTGCGTCCACTTAACGGTTTGTGCAAACGGCCCCCCACCCCCCTCACACTTTGCTGTGTTTAGTGTCCAGCGGAGGGAGCTCTGGTGAGGCGTCCCAGTTCAGGGTCAAGTCACCGAGTCGTCACCGCCGTAGTAGGGTGGTGCCACAGTGTCAGTTGCATGCAGTGAATCTGGCTCAGGTAGGGCAGTAGAGTTGGGTGATTCTCACGATTGCATTATTCACGATTCACAATGGGATCGTTTGGATTGGTGGAATTGTTGAAACCACAGAATTCATCAATTCAGGAATCTCCCAGCTTTCGTTAGTTCCAGCTCTGTCTAGTCCACTCCCGGATGAAGGCCTACCCATTGCCATGTCGGTCATCGGGGTTGTTTAACCATACTTCACCACACTGGACATTGTGGGTTGGTGAAGGGGGGGGGGGGGGTCAGGACTGGTGTAGATATTCCTCACACTGTGAGCAATGCTTGGATATCAAATGTTGGTGCAATGTCACAGCGACCCATTCTTCATGAAGCCGAGGCTGTGTATCCACATTGGCAGTCTTTAACCGTCGTTGGATATTGCACATCCCATCCTGGTGGAGAGGCCAGTGCCTTCATATATCGGCCTGTGAGCGACTCCCCAGAAAGTATTACCTATTCCAGTGACAATTCGAAGGGTGTTGAACCCTGATGGGCGAGGAAGAGGCCCTTCCTGAAGGTATAGAAAGGGAGAGCACAACATTTGCCTGACTTAAGAGTTGGAGATCGCCACATTACACACTGTGCGACGCAGAGAAATCTGGTAACATTTTAAAAGTATAAAAAAACGCCCAAATTTAAAAACAAACTTTTTTTTTATTAACGTAAGGTCACTTTTCCGTTAGTAGACATATACTATCAATCACACCCCAAGACAGTAACAACAATATGGATGTGCACAAATTATTTCGCATACAAATTTAAATTATCTAATTTAATTGGAAGACTGCACCATGGGAAGTATGTGCTTTGTTGTCTTTCCCCTTCGATTCGCACGGTTGGCTACGTACGGTGCAGAAGAAGTTCAACGTTCATACAACGTGCATGAGTCAGGGTGCTTGTTCCAGATTCACTCAGCCATAGGTTTGCATTTATCTGTTAAACCTGGTCACCAATATTTGTTTATTGCCCCAGAATTGAACACAAATCAGCTTTGTAAGGTGAGGGCTTTATAACCCGTGCTTGTCACCTCACCCAATCCCAACCACAAGAAGAACAAAATACAATCTCAACGCGGCTCCATTGCTCAAATTCTAATAACAATTGATCCCATTATTACCGTACCCTATTTAATCAACTTAAAAGCACGCAGGAGTGAGACACGGGACGGGCGGGCTGGCGCGGCAGAGCGTGCCACAAAACCCAGCCGAGTAGTAAACAGTGAACACAACGGAGAAACAGTTGGCTCTGTGTCCCACTGACTTGCCCGCCCGTGCACCGCAGGCACGTGTGGCGCGACGGCTCCAGGGGACGCCGCCGCTTGACCCCGCGGCCCGGAGAAATTAGAATTGGGCGCGGTTTAGCAGCCGTGGGGTGGTGCCAGGGGCCCCGGGGGAGCAATGATTGCACGAGCGTGCAGCTAACTGCCTGCAGCTGGGATATCGGTCACCTTATGGTCAAGGTGAATTAAATATTGTTTTACCTGGGTGCGGGATCGGCCGGCCCGATGGGAAGTAATGGCCTCACGCGCTTTTCCACGTGGGTTTATTAGGACGCGGTAATAGAGATGCAGGATGTGCTGTGTGCACCACTTGCTGCGTCATGTGACCTAAAGAAAAATTGTCATTGACAAAGAAAGATATGGAACACGTTATGAATGCGCACAAACAAGTGGGGAGAAAAATGAATGCGTCGATTTACATCGCGAGACAGAAAGAGGAAAACACTGATTCGAAAATGCGCGCAAGAATTGCCAACGTCGAGGGGATGGGGGTTGAACACGTAGGCTTTCGCGACCAGTTTTATTCATAATAAAGGTTTTTGGGTTAGATCGCGTAAGTATAAATGTGTCGCAACCCTCCACTACCCGACACGGCCAATCAGTAAGAAATGTGTCACGTTGACAAAAGACAAATAGTTCACTACTTTAGCCCACCGGTGTGTTGAAGAGTGGATCCACAACAATTACAATTAGAGTAGTAAGACGTTTCGCTGGTAATTACATCCAGAATCTTCGGGCGATTTGCCAGAATAGTGGGGTGGGAGTTCCCCGGCCACAAGGTAAACATCACTGGCGAATAATATCTGAACCGGTCCGGTGCCCCAACCCTTCCCCAAGCCACACTGACCAGCGTGGTGAAGTATGGTCAAACAACCCCCATGGCCAACGCAGTGTGGGGAGAGCTTCATCAAAGGGAAGTACATTATTCTATGTATTTGTTTGATTGTATCTAAATGACACCCTCATAATGGCCTCTCGCTGTGTCTCTCTCGTCAGCGGACATGGTGTTATCGTCCAAGACAGACAAGTGCTACCGAGCCATGGACGGGCAAGAGTGTGTTCTGCCGATACCACTTCCACTGACGAAGCATATCTGCTGCTGCAGCGTCGGCAAGGCCTGGGGCAAGAACTGTGAGAAGTGCCCACCGCAGGGCCTATGTGAGTGCATGTGCACTCATACACACATACACACACACATACACTCATACACACACACACATACACACACACACATACACTCATACACTCATACACACATACAACAACAACCGCCATTCGCCACTAAGTGACGGTGACGTCACCACGACGCTTGTGCCAGGCTATGTGCACCGTGAGGCCACGTGAAGTGTCGAACGCCCGCTGGCAGGAGGTCACGGGGCAGACCCAGGTGCCACGGGTCGACTGACTGAGATGACTGGCTGATGCACCACCTGTGCCCCCTACTGTGCCAACCTGCTGTGTTTTAGCCACCCGGCGCTCCGCTCGTTGTTCTGAGCGTCGCTCCTCCGCCCTCCGTTGTTGTTGGAGGGCGACTGCCTCCAACTGCCCAGTAGCATCCTTCACGAGCCTCCTCCACAGAGGCCGATCTTGACACCGCTGGTACCAGTCATCGGCAAGTCCACTCAGCTCCACGTCCTCCTGTACCACATCACTCCATCTCTTCTCTAGCCCGTGCCGCGCCCGCTTAGCTCCCTCAATCCGGCCAAACAAAAGCTGTTTCGGCATGCGGTGGCTGGGCATGCGGGCTACATGACCCAGCCATCGCAGCCTTGCCTGCCGGAGGAGCTCACCGATGGGACCTTGCCCAGATCTTTCAAGGATTTGTGAGCTCCTCACACAATCCAGTCTGGTTAAACCAAGGATGGATCGTAGGCAGGCCAGCCTAAATGTTTCTAACCGGCGAAGATGTTACATTAGGGGGGTCCACGTTTCGCAAGCGTAGAGAAGGGAGGGAATGACCATGGCTGAGAAGACCTGCAGCTTAGTGCGGAGCGACAGACCAGGTAGCTTCCACACAGCGTTACGCAACTGTTGAAAAGATATTGCCGCTCGACTGATTCAGAGTGAGACCTCTGCTGTTAAACTGTAGCCAGTCATAAGCACACTGCCCAGGTATGGGAAGCTCTCCACTCTCTCCACAACTGCCCCATCACCGATTGGGAGTTGTGGGGGTGGAGTGTCCGATGGTACAAAATACCCAGGCAGGTGCTTAGTTTTAGTGGGGCTGATGGTAAGGCCCCACCTCTTGATGGCACGCTCCAGTCTCAGCAGCAGCGTCTCCAACTCCTCCTCTGAATGAGCAGCTATTACCAAATCATCAGCATACATAATGTGGTTGAGCAATAGGGAGCCATCCCTTGACCGCACCCGGGCATCGATCAGCCTCTCATTATATCTGTACCATATGGAGATTCCCCCGGTACAGCTATTGAAGGCTTCATGAACTACGTGGTCAAAATAGATGTTAAATAATGTGGGAGCCAGAGGACATCCCTGTCGCACCCCAAGGTGTACAGGGAATGGCTCTGACTCCCGGCCACGTAGTTTTACCCGGGCCCGCTCACCATCATGAAGGTCCTTAATGATCGTGAGCAGAGGGTCAGGTACTCCAAAAGCACGAAGAACAACCCAGAGCCCAGGCCTACTGATGGTATCATAGGCCTTGACCAGGTCAATAAAGCAGAGATGTAGGTCTTGTTGGAATTCCCTACACCTCTGCTGTAGCAGACGGACAGAAAATATGGCATCTGTGCAGGACCGCCCTTTCCTGAAACCGCATTGGGGCTCCGCAAGCCTCTCCTCAGCGTCCCTGGCAAGGCGATGTTGAATAATCCTTGCCAGGACCTTTCCCGGCACACTGAAGAGTGAGATGCCCCTGTAGTTGTTACAGTTTGTGCGGTCCCCCTTCTTAAAAAGGGGGACCACCAGAGCATCCTTCCAATCCTGCGGAACCCGTCCAGTGGTCCAGACTGTTGTTATGATGTCATATAGGGCAGTCTGTGCACAAACGCCACCCTCCCCCAGCATTTCCCATGGGAGATCATCTCTGCCTGCTGCCTTTCCTGATCTCAGACTCTGGATCGCCTTCAGTACTTCCTCAACAGATGGCACCTCAGCCAGCCACTCACAGGGGGTGACTTCTTCCAATATTTGAGGCACCGCAGCCTCAGCAGGGTCATCCTCACTTTGTGCCACGATGTTTTCCTGGCAGAGGGATTTTCCCTCCCCCAGGACCTCATAGAAATGCTCAGCAAATCTGCAAACCTGTTCCTGGGGGTCGGAGATTTGATCACCATTTTTTCCCCTAATGATGGTAATAGGTGTGACGCTGCAGGTTACTTTTTTGATGGAGTTAAATAGAGGTTTGTGATCACGGGCCACTGAGGCAGACTCCATCTCCTCAGCAACCCGCGACCACCACCCATCCTTGCAGCGCCTCACGGCTCTCCGAACCTCTGAGCGAAGGCTGCGGTAAGCCTCCTCATTCTCTGACGTGGGATTCTGTTGCCAATGACAGTGAGCCTGTCGCTTTTTCTCAACCATCCTGAACACCTCCTCTGTCAGCCAGGGTCTCTGGGGAGGTCTGGACCGTGTACCCAAAGCAGCTATTGCAGCTGCATGAGTCACAGTCCTAAACCTCGCCCATTTACCCTCGACATCAGGAGGAGTCGGGGACGATGCCAATCCCAGCCGCAAGCGATGATGAAATTCTCGCTTGCAACTTTCATCAGATAACTGAGACCGGGCCACTTTAGGTTGGAATGGGGTCCTGGGTGTACACCCACCACCGGAGTGGAAGAATGGCAGGCGCATCTTACAGATGACTAGTCGATGGTCAGAGGGCAGATCAGCTCCACGGTAGGTCCTGGTGTCAAGGACATGGGCTCGCATCTGCTGGTCTGTCACTATGTACTCCATCAGATGTTCTTGCTTGGACCCGGCATGCATCCATGATGTTGTGTGGATGCGCCGATGCCGGAACAGCGTGTTGGTAATTACAAGCCCATGGGCTGCACAAAAATCTAGCAGCCTCCTACCGTTGTTATTGAGCTGATCTGGCCCATGCCCTCCAATCACTCCAGACCAGGTGCCAGCATCATGACCAACTCGGGCATTGAAGTCACCCAACATGATGACTCTATCCCGAGGGGCCACTTTAGCCAGCACCTGTGACAGGAGGTCATAGAAGGCATCTGACTCATCGGCTTTGCCTGCATCCCTCCACGGATGTTCATCTTCAGTGGGGGCATAAGTAACCACGACCACCATTCCTCGCCTCCGGTTGATGGGAAGGCGAGCCCAAAGTAGCCTGGAGCTTACAGCTTCCCACACCTCACCGCCACGCTCCCACGCCCCCTTGATTATTTTGTTCAACAGAAGAGCCACACCCTGTTGTTTGCCCCGAGTAGAGGACTGTCCACCCCTCATGGTGGCAGGAGCCAGAACCGGTCCACCGGACCTCCTGAATGCCACAGAGATCCAGGCGATACCGGTCCAGCTCCCGACAGAGGAGTGGCAGCCTCTCCTCCGCAGTGAGCGTTCGAACATTCCACGTGGCCACCCGTAGTGGTTTTTCGTTGTTTCTGGAGGAGCCCCGAGGGTAGATATTCAATCTCCTGGCTTCGCCAATTGGGGTTTGGCCAGGAGACGTCATAAACGCCTGGCCCCCCGGGGCCTCTGGCACAAGCTTATAAGTTATATACTTAATTCGCGGTTTAGTGGTAATTAATTGAAGGTGGAGGGGTTACCAGCCCCTCGCACCCATCCAGAGCCCCCGTTTAGCCCCTGTGGTGGTCACAGACGCCATGAGGGGAGGAGCCAATATAAATTGAACCTCCCCCTACAGCACTGTCCACGACAGAGTTGCCCGTCCGGCACCGCGAGGAGGTAGAGGGTTGTTTTTGTCGAGCATACACACATACACTCATACACACATACACTCATACACACATACACTCATACACACATACACACATACACCCATACACACATACACACATGCATAGATACCGCCACGACCCCCTTTCCCCCCTGTACAGCCTCTGAGACTGTTGGTGCAAGTGTTGTGAGCAACCACTTGCTTCGTTTCCTCATTACTGATATTTTTTGGCACACCGGAGGAAACTGGAGTACCCAGAGAAAAAGTTCAAATATGCAAGGGGTAATGCTGAAACTTCCTCATAGATGATGTTGAGATTCAGTTTCTGCGTTTCCATGTCCTGAAAACCTTGCAGCTCAGGCCGACAATACCTGGTATCCCAGGACAGTCTCCCATCCAAGTATTAATGCAGCCTCAACCCGTTAGCTTAGCAAACAAAAGCTGACTGCCATCGACCTCATTTTTCTTTTGTTGTCACAAGCAATGAATGTATGTATGTTACAGTTTGTTGAACTTCTTTCGCACCGTACGTCGACAACTGTGCGAGTCGGAGGCGTGGATAATAGAATTTGTATGCGTCCCTCATCACTGCAGCTAATTACCAGCTCCAACTTAAGACCAGCCACTAAATACAGTCACCTTTGATTTAAAGCTTTCGTGACTGCAGGGATTCATATTATTGGTTCTTTTGGTAAAGTCACGTAGAAGGGAAACAATAAAATAATAAAAACATTAAACAATAAGATTCTCACGACGTTTCGACTGCAGCACAAGAAATCATCATCAGGTGTGAAAACCACAACAAGAAAATTTGAAAAAAGTGGCGTTTTTTTTAACGTTAGCGCCACGGATAGCGATTTGACAGTTTATTCAGATGGACGAGTCCATCTGTGTTCGGAAAAGAGGAGGGGGGAGACGAAAATAAATTAAAAAAAAACCGCCACTTTTTTCAAATTTTCTTGTTGTGGTTTTCAAACCTGATGATGATTGCTTGTGTTGCAGTCGAAACGTCGTGAGAATTTTATTGTTTTATATTTTTATTATTTTATTGTTTCCCTTCTACGTGACTTTACTGAAAGAACCAATCAACCAGCAATCAGCACTAATTATTACACCGGCTCATCTGCAGGGCTGACCTGATGATGTTACGGTACCTACTTAACGAGCCAAATCAGCAAGCTCTTTCACAGGAGAGCTGAGATTTGTTAACGCCGGAAGATGCTGGATGCAATCTCCAGCGAAACCATCATGAACAATTGCCAACATTATGCTTGCTTCTGAACAGTCTGGTTTGCTGAAAAAAGCAAATCAATTGGAATATTGGCCAACGTGACAGCTTGAGTTGATTGCCTCTGTCGGAAGGTGGAAGGTTATCATAAAAAAAATAAAACTACACCTCCACGTTCCAACCTAAAATAAACTAATCATGAATTCTAATGATGAATCATTTTAAACCATTTGCATGTGACTGATGCAAGGCAACACGATGGACTGACATGCCTTCTTGTTTTCAAATGTAAAAAAAGCCTCCTTCAAAGAAACATGCCCAGCTGGGATGGGTTACCACTTCCCTTCGTCTGAGATGAAGCTCAACGTGCGGAAGCTGACGGACGTGGAGCAAATGCAGATAACGCCTGAGCGACTGGCCAAGGCACCGGCTGCCGTCGACCCAGGGAGAGGGGACGCGTTCCCTGGGCCCCCGCGCCTACCCCAGCACCACCCGCCTCCCAAGATCGACGTCTGTAAGGTCACACGAATGCATGCCCCCCCCCAAACAAAGACAAAGATCCTCCGTATAACCTTAACAGACCATGGGCAAGTGCTGTTAGCGAGCAGCGACAATGTTTACACACCACACTAGGTACTAATTTAGGGCTGAGTCGAACCAGGTGGAGGCCCAGAACCGGTTCAGATAATCGTCACTGGTGTTGGCCGTGAGCTGGAATAAAACTCGGGTCACTGGACTCAGCCCAGTGTGTTGTGTGTGTTGAACTTCGATTTAAAGCTTTCGTGACTGCAATGATTCATCTTCTTTGGTTCTTTCGGTAAAGTCACGTAGAATGAGAATAAATAATAAATTGATAAAATAAAATAACACAATAATATTTTCACGACGTTTCGGCCACAACACAAGCGGCCTTCATCAGGTGAAGGGACGAGACTGTCTGGTAGGACAGCGCTGGAGTGAAAGAGCCACGTTCAGATCACGGCCTTTAAGCTGTGTGAGAGGAACAAAGCGCCTTGACAAAGGAATTAGCATATAATTTAGCATTGAAATGGCTGAATGATTAGCTTGTGACTGGTCACAGAAATAGCTATGTTAAAAGTTAAATCATACACATCCGCAGAGGCACCCCTTGATAAAGGAATTAGCATAGAATTTAGCATTGAAATAGCTAAGTTAAAGCATACACATCCGCAGAGGCACCCCTTGACAATGGAATTAGCATTAAATTTAGCATTGAAATAGCTGAGTGATTAGCTTGTAACTGCTCACAGAAATAGCTACGTTAAAGTCAGAGCATACACATTCACCGAGGCACTTAGTACAAATCAAACAGGAGACTTTAGCATTGAAATAACTAGGCGAATTTAGCAATGAAATAACTGAGTGATTAGCTAGTGACTGGTCACAGAAATGACTATGTTGAAGTCAAGGCCTACACATCTGAGCTATTCACAGTACTATATAGTGAACCAATAAAAAAAAAACTAAAATATAAATTACCTTAATGTTATCAATAAACTCTATATTCTCATTCTACGTGACTTTACCGAAAGAACCAAAGAAGATGTGTTGAACTTCTTTCGCATTGTATGTAGCCAAGCGTACTCATCGGATGTGCGCTAACCGCTACACCCCCCAACACACACTTTAAGATGCATGCATATCTATAGCCCTTTTATAAATCTTACACTGGAGGAGAGGCTTCCCCATACTAAGTGGCTCTTCACCGTACCGGTCGCTCCTCGATGTTGAAGGCAGATCGTGTGGACGAGGTGCAATGGTGGCGTTTTCTAAACAGCTATTTCGTTGATCCACCACATAAATGGTGAACCACGGTGGTGAAATGTTAACTACCTCGCCTGGTATACAAGAGGTCGTGGGTTTCATCCCGACCCTGATGCCTGTTGTATATTTGGAGTTTGCATGTTCTCCCTGTGGTCACGTGGATTTTTCTCCCGGTCCTCCGGGTTTTCCCTCCACATTTAGAAACACTCATTTAGAGTATTTGGCGTCTATATATTTCCACACGATAAGCCGCTTCGTTGAGCTATCGTTAGTGGCCAGGTCGCTTCTATAGCTCAGTGGGCCTTAGCTGGAAAAATAAAAATAGTAAATAGTTAAAATTTGTAAAAGTTATTAAGATTGACAGGAGAGCAGTAGCGCAGGGGTGAACGCACGGTGCTACGAATCCGGCAAAGTTGGTTCATATTCTTCTTTCAGTGAAGTCTCTTCGATAGAAAATAAAAATAAAATTACAATAAAATTTAAATAAACATTTAATTTTAAAATAAAAGCATAAACCCCACGACGTTTTGATCGCAACACAAGCGGTCTTCATTAGGCAGAGAGAAAAGAGGGGGCAAGCCTCCAAATGCAACTGCTTCTAGGGGCTTTCAGAGTGAGTGGGCGGGGACAAGAGCTGCGAGGCAGCAGCAAGGAAAGCTGTGCGGCGTACACAGCACGGGCGGGGCAGCCAGTGGCAATGTCGGAGTAAAGCGCGAGACAGAGGTGGAGCTGAAGGCGAGGGGCGTGGTCCAAGTGTGTAGGACAATGGGGGGAGGGAGGGGTAGAGAAGGGGGAGAGAGAGGGGGGTAGTGATAGCAGATAGAGGGAGAGAGGTGGAGTAAAGCGCGAGACAGAGGTGAAGCTGAAGGCGAGGGGCGAGGTCCAAGTGTGTAGGACAATGGGGGGACGGAGGGGTAGAGATAGGGGGAGAGAGAGGGGGGGGGGGTAGAGAAAGTTTTAAGTCAAAATTAAAAGTTGGTTCAATTCGTGGCCATTATAAACGTTACTGTGGAGTGCCATCTTAACCGGCCAGTAGGACCTCCTACTGACCAGCGTGGTGAAGTATGGTCAAACAACCCCTATGGTCAACACGGCGTGGGGAGGCCTTCATATCTTGCTGTGCATTAACAATTTGCCATTTCAACACAATAAGCTAAATTAGAATAGGCAAGGAACGATATATTACCCCTCTTCCCCCCTCCACAACCCTCCCAGCAGCCAATCCTCTTGCTCCCTCAGGAGTGGTTCATCCCCTTTCCAGATTTGAGTAAACAATGAATTATTTGTTTTTCTCGTTTCTTTCTCACTGGTATTGTTTTCCGAGGTATTCTCATGGCACCAATGCAAATTGTATGCGTGAAACGCAATCCAATAGGATTCTTGAAGATACATATATTTTTTTAATTGGCCACTAAATACTCAGATTTTCCCTTTGTACCACGTGCGCTTGACTTTGCGTCGAGCTATTTAACAATGTCACGCGTTTAACTTCAGCATCATTTTTTTCCTTTTGTGTTGTATTTCAGATTCAAGTCTTGATGGCGAACCGGTAAGAAAATATCGCTCGCGTTATATATTCAGAAACTCGTGAGAGAGTAGATGGCCTGGTGGCTGAGTATCTTCGAGGCTGAATATCGTGTCACGAAACTGAAGACGGACCGCTGAGATCCTTGGGTTTAAATCTGAGCAGACATTCGTGACTGGCACAGCAGAAACACTCGTGCCTCACAGCAAGAAGGGCCTGGGTTTGATTCCCAACTGGGTTGTCTTTTTGCATAAGTTTGCTCCGGGTTCTCTGGATTACTCCCATGGCAAACCAAAGAACCCTATGCAATGTAATTGATTGCATGGCCAAACATCCCAATTCTGAAATATTACCTGCAAATTACTAAATTTGGATTATGCATTGTAAAATCACGCCCCTGCTGCAAATACATGGCAGGACCCTCCTGAAAAGGAGTCTGGAGACTCAGTGACACTTTTCTGGGTAAAGAAGCATCATAATAACTAATTGATTTAACTGAATTATCAAGTCCATCGTGTTAATGGTCTGAGCCCCATCAGCAGACTACAAATGTTTTTACTTTTGATTATTCCTTTGCTTGAACATATTCTAGCTCTGCAAATTCTTGGTGACTCACATATAACATGTATACAATATGCATTCCGGGAGTTGATAAATAGGTCTATTGAAGTAACTGCCAAAGTAGTTCTATAACTTTTTTCTGGGGACATTCTCTGAATGGAAAGTTAATTGTCTCGTGATATTACACCAAGAGGACAATTGTGATAATAATTGGGAAAATATGGAGAGAAAAATAGCAAAGGTGACAAGACATGTGGGAAAAGCAGGATCCCCTTTATCATGATTCTACTTGGTTTCTCTTTTCAATTCCACCAATCAGTATATTAACACATTAATAAACATGAAATATTTCGTAAAGCTGACATTCATATTCTTAAAACGAATAACTGCTCGTATTTGTTTAAGCATGTCTATTTTTATATGCGATATATCCTCATGGAAGTGAAATCTTAACGACTGTACAATTACATTCCTACGTGTTCTGTTGTGACAGGTGATAACAGCGCTAAGCACCGATAACGCCCAAAAAACCATCACAGGTGCGTATGTATGCTTTTATTTTGTACGGGACAAAGCTAACAAAGCCTGCACAGACTCAATGAGAGACGGATGCTTTTGCACAGAGGAACGCTTGGATTAGAGAAAATATGCATGGCAGAGGGACATCGCATAGATTGTGATGAAATATGAATGGGCTTTATCGGGACGTGTCGCTCAAAGGGATGAATGGTTGGTGCTCGAGACTATTGATGGGATGGCAACCAATGGAGGGAGAATTGCGTCCGGGACTGAGTCTCCCTGCTTGGATGCAGCGACGTCGTCAGCTCGTGCGCAGCAGCAAAGATGATGTGCCGCATCGCCAGACAATGAGAGATGGCAACGGCTTGCGGAGGTTTCCATTCACAGTGGTGGATTGCACTTGGCTGATGATGATGAGTGATACTCATTGATCCTTCATATGCAATAGCATTGCATGCCACATTTGTACATTTTCATGCATCAGTAAAGTCCCTATGCTGACAGGTTTGTCCAATAGTATTTCACTGATGGTAATTTACCAACTGTGCACCGATGTGCATTGAAGACATGTTGTCAATGTATTGTTAAACGCATGCCTGTACCCAACACCGACCTCTTTATAGCTCGACTGTGTAGGCGGATGCACTGTTCACTCAATTGGTTGCCACTTCATAGAGAGTCGTAGATAGGGCATGGAGAGCTCTTGGCCAACATCAACCCAATGCATCTTCCCTCAGAGGTTAATAAAATGAGCACTATCTCCTAAGATAAAATGACTTTGTTTACGTCTCTTTGATAGTTGTGTACAAGCAATGACAACAAAAACTCAGTTTAACACGTAGGCTTTCGCGACCAATATCCATAATATAGGTGTTTGGATTACATCACGTAAATACACATATAATATAAAAGTAACACGTGGTGCCGTAAGTTCACCGGTGTTTCATCGGCGCGGAAATGCGTCGTCTTCCCACAGTGCACGGGCCTCCTCCATCCCAGGTGTTCCCGTCGTGCTCGTACTGTAGGCCAGCGTGTGGAGGTGCATTCACAAAAATCGGCGTTGTTTCACGTGCCTCCGGTTACGAGGCCGGGCAACGGAATAGCTCACGGGGTCCATCTTTTGAAGGCCGCCGATGAGGCGATGTGTTTTTTTTATTTTCGTAAAGGAATTTGCTCGTGAATTGGCGGGTAATTGCACGCGGTTAGAAATTGTTTGACATGGGAAGGTGAGTTTTGTGCAGGTGTGTTCTAGCTAACATGCTGTATATTTATACACCATGTTTAACCCTTAAATATTCTATTTTAACGTATCTACGGATGCTTATGTCATCATCACCAGATGTGATCTGTAATTTGCTGAATGAAGGCTTCCTCAAGTTGTTTCTTTTTCTCAACGATTCTACGTTGCCTTGATCCATCTTGCTCCTGTAGGCGACCTCACCTCATCGCTCCATCTCATCTCTCAACGCACTTCCTCGTTTGACTTTGTTCTCTGAGTCATGTGTTCCTCTCTCTGTCTCGGCATAATTCCAAACACGTTTCCCTTCACGCTTCTTAGTGTACTCTTCACATTTAGACTTATTTTCTTTGTAATTGTGCATTTTTCCGATCCATTTGACAAAGCAGCTATTCAGCACTGATTGAAAGCTTACCTCTATCGGCATTTTTTTGCCTTGCATTTTTTAATGAAATGTGTGTTTTATTTTTAAGTATTACCACCTGCTACCGATCACCTCTTCATTTCATCATTTTGATCTCGACCCACCTTCAAGATGAATGCACTGTGCCCTAGGTGCACATACTCTGGATCAAAGTAGTGACCAGACGATTATGTCATGTTCTGGTGCTTAGTAAAAAAAAGGAAACAAACTGAATTAGACGGCACGCTTTGAGAATTATGCTCTATTCATAACTATGGTCACGAATTTTGAAACAAAGCATCCAATCATCAATGAATTTAGAGTTTTAAGCTTGCGTTAAATGCATACAATTGCATATATATAAATCTACGTTTTTGTTATTAGTGCTTGTGACAGCCACAGCCACTGGAGGTGCCTGCCATTCACCACAGTGTTGGAATAAAAGTGTTGTTTATTAAAGCAAATGGTTGGGAGAGAATGTGAATTGTTCCACCCTTAATGGTGATGTATATTTGTAATCACAGTGTAAATTCAATATTCTTCACTTAAACAGTTGCATATATATAAACGTACACACACACGCACACGAATGACTCTGCCGGTTTGTGAAGCACGTTTAACATAACGCACGACTTTAAACAATCGCACAGCAGATTCTTCTTTCCACCGATAATTTGATACAGTTGCCACGCTCAAAATCATTTCCAGGTGAGTCCTGGAAAGACCTCGTGGGAACATGAGACGCACTCTCGCAAAGCCGAGCATGAAAAATGTCTCTACCCCTGGCAAGGGCACTTATGCTCTGTACGGTAGTGAGCAAGACCCGCGATTAAAAACTCGTGGTGCCGTGCGCCGATAATCCAGCTGTTCGGACAGGAGATATGATGCTTGATGTTCAGTTACCCGGCCTGGAGTGCTATGGTGTGGTCAGTGGTAGTATACCAACAAGGGTTAAAACCTACGAGTATAGTAAAGCCTCTCTATCTGCGAGGGTTACGTTCTTGAAAATGCTCGTGAATGCAGAATTAGCGAATGCAGAAGCCTTCTTAAACGGGGGGAAAAAACGGGTTATGTTCTTGTTACGAGTGAACGGGGGGGGGGAGGAGAATTTTCAATATTTAATAACAATGACTACAATAAATATATAATAAAGTTGAAAGAACGATGTGCTTTTTTTATTAACTTTGACGATGATGATTTGACGGCGATGGAGGTGAAAGTGGTGGCGATGGTGAGGAATTCAGGAGGATGACTCCTCGGGGAAATGCAGGTGTTTGATAACAAGGCACAGTGGTTAGAGTGAGGACGAAGCAGGCAGCCGAGGGGGCGTGCCGAATCTTCACGGACATTTCCCAATGGAAATTCCTGCACGAACCTCCCCGTCGTCGGTGGTCTGGCGCTACGGACGCTCGCGAGTGCCGGAGTCCGGCGGGTCGCGAATAGGGAATTAGAATGCATTTAGTAACTCGCGAACATACGGAACTGGCGAATCTAGAACTCGCACATAGTGAGAGTTTACTGTACAAATTTTTACAGCGATTTCCGAGTACACAGTTGCATCCAATGTGCAAAATTACTCAACAAAGAATAAACACATTATATAGTAATAGGTTTTACCCTTTTAACTGGCACAAAAACTGGCACCTTTATTCAAGGCATCATGTTTGCAATAACCACAACACAAGCAGTCAAAATGCAAACAAAAGAGACAACTCTGATAATAATATGCACTATCCTTGAATTTGATTGGTCCACACCGGAGACAGCTTTTCTTAGAGCCTAGTCTCCACTGGTGTTGGACCAGAAGACGCCAAAATGCGTACAACTCACAAACAGCGCACTATCAGAGTATTGTGGGCTCGGGGTGAGCATTTACATTATGAGACCTCCTTTGCCAGTAACAAGATATAGTAATAGGTTTTACCCTTTTAACTGGCACAAAAACTGACACCTTTATTCAAGGCATCATGTTTGCAATAACCACAACACAAGCAGTCAAAATGCAAACAAAAGAGACAACTCTGATAATAATATGCACTGTCCTTGAATTTGATTGGTCCACACCCGAGACAGCTTTTCTTAGAGCCCCGTCTCCACTGGTGTTGGACTGAGCTCTCCAGATAATACTGTCCATGCTAAATAAAATACCCCATTAAATATAAATTGAATTATTTTTAAAACCTTGTTTCAAGGAACATGATCGAATCTATTACCTATAATGTAATGAACATTATAAACATAGTTAATGAACGTAACGACGAATCCTTGCCCACGAACAGAAGTTGACTATGATTTCATTATTTTACTAAAGTAGTCTAAATGTATACAATTTATGACTTTGGAGTGACCCATAATTTGATCAGCCATTTTGTCAGTGATCAGCAAAAGCTTTCATAGATGAAAGACCAAAATAGTTGTATTTTAAATTATTGTATTTTTATTATTTTTGATCTTGATGGTTAATGTCCAAAAAACAAGAAAGCACAAGGTTACCTCTTGCAGAGGGCAGGGTAGACTGATGCGTAAGGTGAGCCTGTGCCCTCGTGCGTGTGTCGGTCTACTACACGCTCTACCTGTGGCATCCTTGTGTGGTCCAGGTTTTTCATTGGAATTCGTATGTGCGGTGTTTCTTTTATGTATGAGGCCGTGCGGAAACGGCGCGATGACATTAAGCGTACGAGCCCTATGCCCCTGTACCATTCCCGTTCTGTTGTAATGTTAACTTATGCTTACTTTATTAAGGAGAGTGATATGAGCATGTAAAATAAAGATGTATCGATTGAGAAGTGTGGTTCCTGACGGCTGCACCCTTCCCGCAGGCACGGACGTTCACCAGACCTCGGCGATTCAGACTCCACGGCGCACTTCTCTCCCGGCCTCCACCATCGTCGTGAGCCAAACTGAGGCCCTCTCCGTCGCGCAGGCCACCGGTAAGATACCGCACGGCGTGGAACAGCATGACCAAGCAAACACAGCCGGCGCGTATGAATATCATCTTGGCATAGGCCGAAATAAATTTGCCCTTCTCTCTGCTGTCTCCTACTGAATCTCTGACAACCTTCTCAAACTCAGTATCAGAAAAACTGGGTTCGTATCTTCTCTCACTCCCACTCATATGCATCTGAGCACCGCGGTGGCGAGATATTAACTGTCTTGCCTGGTATGCAGGAGGTCGTGGGTTTGATCCCAACCATGATGCCTGTATATTTGGAGTTTGTATGTTCTCCCCATGCTTGTGTGAATTTTGCTCTGGTTTCTCCAGTTTGTCCTTCCACATTAAGAAACATGCGTTTTGAGTGCTTGGCTGCTGCCAAACATTTCCACGTGATAAGCCGCTTCGTTGAGATATAATTTGTGGCTAGGTCGCTTCTGGATAAATACTATATAGCTCAGTGGGCCTTACCTAGTAAAATAAAAACAATTTAGTCGTTTAGTTTAATCTGCCTTCTCAACTCGGACATTTTCCTTGCCTCCACAGTCTCCAACCTTGGCTTCACAATTCACCCCGAACTCTGTCTCACTCCTTACTTTTGCCTGCGCAACATCTCTTGCATCGTGAACTTTCCTCCTCCTGCTGCCGGGATTCTTGTCCATGCCGCCATCACAATCTCGACTTGGCTTTTGTAACTCCCTCCTCGAAGGCCTTGAAATTGCTGCTGCCTGTATTCTCACCCATTCACGTAAACATGACCACATCAATCCCATCCAATGTTACCTTCACTTGCTCCCTGTCCATTCCTGCATTTATTATAAAATAGCAACCTTTGTCTTGAAAATCCTCCACAATTTTGCCCTCCTCCTATCTATCCTCCCTCATCTGTCCCGATACTCCCTCTCGGCATGTCCCATCCTCTGACCAATACCTGCTAGCAAGAACCTCAATTTTACCTAAAGTCCCTCGTCACTCTGTTTCCCATTCTGTCCCCTCGGTTTGGAATTCCCTTCCTCTCTGTACCCATCGAATTGATGCCCTCCCATTGTTCAAATCTCATCTTGAGACCATCACGCGCTTCTCACTGGTTTTTAAAGCATTGCCGCTCACTGTGCTGGAGTCGGCTCCCCCCTGCCCAGGTCCCCGGGAACATCGCAGTCTCATTGCTTATCCCCACCTTTGTCTTCCCCACCACCCCAACTCTCTTCACCTTCCTTTGAACTTATCTCCCCCCCTACCTTTTTGTCGTTGTAATTTAAACTAAAACTAAGCTATACAATTTAAACTAAAACTAAACTATAAACTTCTTCTTTGGTTCTTTCGGTAAAGTTCTTTACCGAAAGAACCAAAGAAGATGAATCCTTGCAGTCACGAAAGCTTTAAATCGAAAATTAAACTATAAACTATTTTTTTTATTTTACCAGGTCAGTCCCACTGAGCTGTATAGATCTTTTTCAGAAGTGAGCTGGCTGCAAATGATAGCCCAACGAAGTGGCTTATGATGTGAAAATGTATAGCAGCCAAATACTCTTAAACGCACGTTGGTTCCAAACGTGGAGGGAAAAACCGGAGGACCCGGAGAAAAATCCACGCGACCACGAGGAGAACATGCAAACTCCACATATACAGGCGTCAAGGTCGGGATAGAACCCATGACCTCCTGTATACCAGGCAAGGGAGTTAACATCTCGCCACCACGGTAATATACCTCCACTCTCCCCCCTCCGCTCTCCCCCCTCCGCTCTCCCCCCTCCGCTCTCCCCCCTCCACTCTCCCCCCTCCACTCTCCCCCCTCCACTCTCCCCCCTTGTAATATCCCTCTCCCCCCTCCACTCTCTCCCCTCCACTCTCCCCCCTCCACTCTCCCCCCATGTGATATCCCTCTCCCTCCTCGTTATCAGAAGGATCCTCCCCTCAATTCCCGAGACTTCCCTCTCACCTCCTTCCCTGCCCGTTTATTCACCTTTCCTCCTCACTCCCTTTATTGTGGCCGGTTGATATTTATTTAATTAACCCACCATCTCTAAAAGCTATTTTAATCCATTTTTAAAATGGTGTTTTAAATTAGTTACGTTTTATTGCGTGTAAAGCGTACTGAGATGCCCTGACGTGAAGGGTGCACTTTCAAGAACAAGTTGATATAATCATCTTAACCATGGACATGTTACATTTTACAATTTGCAGAATTCATGCACTCACACGCTTAATTTAACCGTACGTGCAAAGTATAAGTTGTTTCGTGTTTAACTGCACCGTGCCAATGCACCTCTCAACAATGGTGAATGTAGAGGCCACTTGTGCCTGTAGGGTTCGAGTGAACCCAGCATCTATAACGTGCAAATCAGACCGAAGCAACGCTCACGTGCACGATTCGATGCCTACATCGGGATCGAAACTCACATTTTTATTCTCCACCAAATGCCTTGACATGCAATTGGATGTAGACACTACGTAAAACCGAAATTGTCTTTGTTAATTAATCAATATACACGTCATGAAACCGCTAGCGTGTACTGTGCAGAAAGGGCATTGATATATATATATATGCGTGTGTGGGGCTGTATTTAGGCAAAAAAAAACATTGCTGGGTGGCTCAAGTCTCTTGATTGGCTGGTAGCAGGGCCCCTTTCAGGGAGGAGTGGGGTTGGATTGTATTTTGGAGGACATCGATATGTAACTCGTATCGTTCAAACAAGGGCTTTTCCATGCGGCTCCAAATGGAGCGACCATCAAAATGCCTCCTTCAACGACTCTATAAAAGCGACCGCAGGAAATCAATGAAAACTTGGTGTTGGCCTCGCGTGAGCTTCGCGCGAGCCATATTCCATGAAGAACCGATGATGATTTTGGAACTAAAGGTCATGGTTATGGGAACAAACAAACAAACAAAGAAATGGCATCTGGGGGTCTAGCAGGAAATCTATTCCAGAGGAATTGTAGATCATTAGGATTGTTTGGCTGCAAGTGCTCCAGAGACAGAATCCGTTAACTCATGTAACACGCAGTTGGACTTGTTCTCGGTAAATAAGGTGTTTGGAGGAAACGAGTAAAATATATAGGGTATGGGAATGGGAAATTGATGTCTTCTGGGAATGTAAAGCAGTGTTGGGAAATGGCTTCGATCATAGAGATGAGCCAGATGGGCCACATAGCCTATCTTCCCATTACAGAATGGTTTGTGTTCTTAGTTGACTGAAATTTAAATGTAACCATGTGACTTCCTCTCCCTGACCAATGTGCTTCTCCAGTGCTGCTTCTATCTCCTCTGTTAGTGCTTTGCAGAGCGGCCACTCTGCACAGGGCTCAGTGACCACTCTGCACTCGCTGCTTGCCACATTGGTATTAGGTGCATTTCCCATTGTGCCTGAACTCTGTTTCTTGGCCTGTCACGTGCCTAGCAAGAGCACGTCCTCCACGTGTGCCAAGACAAAACTAATAAAAACAAATGAAACAATATAACCCGCCAAAGCCCCACACGCTGTAATGAATGCTATTAATCATTAGTGGGTATGTGTCCTGAATTAGCTGTAAATTCTGCTGGAGACTGGCTCATGTAGTACACTGGTGAAAATGTTAAATCACTAATTTATTGGAGGGCTTTGTACGATGCAACGCTATTGCGGCAAGTGTTCCTTCCTTAGAACAACCGTAATGGGAATAAGAAGACAGAACTTAATATTTGCCAAGAGGTAGTTAGCCAAGATTATAATTGTTATTATTTGGCTTAGCTATATGGCTGAGCCAAGCCCTTCATCCTCTGGTTATTATTTCTTGAAGGAGATAAAAAATCATTTGACACTTTAATATGCAAAAATTTAAGGATCTTTTGAGTCAGCTAGAATCAACATCTCCAATGTGTTAATTTAATTCAAGTTTACCCATATATGTTTAACCTTTCATTCTGATTTAATTTTCCTGTGAGCCAGCTGAGAGAAATTCGGTGTCGGGGAGTTGGACATTAAAGTAAAGAACAAAACATCAGATGCCAGAACTGACAAGCGTCTCATTTTGCAATAAAATCTCTGAGACTTGCAAAATGGTATGCTTCGGTTGAACATGTACACAGCCCTCCCGGTGTGGCTCACACAAAGCTGTTTGTTCAAACTCTGTCTAGAGGCTGTAACCAGAAGCCCTTTTAGGCGCTGGCATTAACGCTGTTTATTGTTTTTGTTCAATAGAGGCTTGTAGCCATGGTTAGCACGCTCGTCGTTCATTTGACACATTATGGGAAAGTCTGCTTTTCGAGTCCCACCGGTGAGGAATGTGAATTAACAGTGGATTACACCAGGGCACAGCGATCAGCTCACTGCAGGAACGTTCACTCCGTTAGCCATTGACTCGCACGCATGTGCGCTGGCGTGGTGCGGTGTTTACACAATTGCGCCGGGCCGAGTTCTTTTGGCAGCGGCGTCAGGTTGGCCGGCCTGATTTGCCAGCTCCGGTAATTCATTATGTCGGGAGGATTTTCCCCCTGGGACCGGCACGGATGTGGGGCTTCGCAGATGCCCTGCCACCTCGATTGTTTGGTTACGCCGGGTTGATGTATGTCTCTCCGGCCCTTCCCCGAGCCAGGCCCGTCCGTCGATTATTTTTCCCTCTGAGCACTTAATTGTCGTCATGAGCTCCATATGAGCAAGTTGCCCACAACAGTCAATCTGGACGGGGGTGGAAGGAGATTCATAATATGGAGTTATTAAGTCTCGCTAGCATGGACACGGCTGCATAGTTTAGTTGGTGTGGAAGTCTCAGACGAGCCAAAACGTTCGCGAATTTCGTCAGAGTGCTTTTGCGCAAAAAAAATAATGTTAAAATCAACAAAGAAATTGCTTTGTTGCTCCAAATTGCGCATTATGCCATTTACAAAAATAAACACCGCAGACTGATACAAAATATAAAAATGTTTTGAAAGGATTCTTAGGATGTGATACAACAATTGATGCAACCTAATTTGCATTTCACATGCATGAATATCGAGGGGCGTGGTGGTGGTATGTTGGATTATTAATTGCACTGTGAGGCATTAAGTGCCCTTGATTTCGATTCCCAACAATGGAAAACATCAGTGATGAGTGATATCTGATCCAGTCGTAAGTCCCCAGGGGTTGTAATTTACAATTAAAGTTATGTACGAATGTTACTGAAATCAGCACACTGCATATAGCTAAATATATGCTGTGTTTTTGTTTCATAATATTACACATGATAAGCACATCGTATTCATGCAGTAAATCATTTATTTGTTAAAAACTGCCTACATTTTCCAAGCATGTCAGTTGAAACACTGGGACAAGTTTCTTGAATCCCCACACTTCTGTTCACCCAGCAGTGTCCATGGGCTCACCACAGTCGATTGGCGGGCCACGTGTGGCGGGGTAAAGCGTGGGTACTCCCATCTCGTCCCAGATGTAGGCTCCTCTATATGGGGCTGTCGAGAGATTCTTCTAGTGGAAGGCCCTTCTGTCAGTCTCGGGGTGATCAATCAATCGCATAGCTGCACCTTTAAATTTACCTGTTTTAAATTACCACATAATAAAGCACTTCATTGGGCTATCATTTGTGGCCATGTCACCTCTGAAAAACAGCTATATAGCTCAGTCTGTCTTATCTGGTAAAATAAAAAAAGTTTAGTTTTAACTTTTTCCTCTTACAAGTTTTTGGCAATGTTTGTGTTACAATGTGTGTCTTTGGTCCAGTGGTGAACACCTGCCTGCAGACCCCGGACATCTGTGGACATGGCGAATGTGTTCACCTGGACCGTGGGCACACGTGTGTGTGCAATGGCGGCTACAAGCTCAACCCATCACTAACTCACTGCATCGGTGCGTTCAGTCGACTTCGACATCAGGCCAGTGGCCGTTTCTCACAAACAGCCGTTTCATTTCTAGGATTGGAAGGAGACGGGGAGGGTAAAACAAATGGCTCAGATCTGAAAAGTCTCCCAAACCATCTGTGGCCAATAGATTTAATTGAAGGCTGATTGCGTTTGTTTTGAAATTCACAGTCTATTTGAAGAGCAAAGTAAGCGTGCACGCTTAAAATCGGCCACTTCGAAAACAAACTTAAGCATGAACGCCCCAATTATTTCTCTTGACCGCAGGTAATTTATTAAAAGTGATTTTTAATTGCAATGATATGTAATTGATATGTACTCAAGCGATACAGTGACTTTAAAGAAACGGCTCTGATTTTACTGCTGTGTTTATGGATTTTATTTAATGACACGGTCGAGTTATGCTGTGATTCAGAAAACCCCTGTTTTTTTATCCAAGTGTCTTAAGCGTTTAATCCACCAGAGGTGCAATTAGCATTTAGTGATTGAGCCTGCTTCAGTTTGATGACTTGTTACGATTCGGACTTGTGATTCGATTCAGGAAATCCATTATTAATGTTTTTGCCAGTATGGTGAATATATTACTTCTCACCACTGCAGGGCTTATGTGACTTTCATTATATACAACATATCATCATCATTAGCCACGACCAATCCACTGCTGGATGCAGGCCTCGGCAAGCTGCTGCCGCCTATCATGATGCTGCGATGCAATGATACATCCATCACTGGTCTCATCGCTCTATCTTCTTGGTGGATGTCCTTTCAGACGCATTCCATTTCTGATCATTCCATTAGACCAGTGGTTCTTAACCTGCGGTGCACGCACCCCATGGGGGTGCGAGATGCCCTCTATGGGGGTGCGAGGCATGCCAATTCATTTTCTTTTGAAGGTAAATCATCGAAACATAAATTGAGCACGGGCACGTAAGTACAACTGCTTTGTTTCATCGACGCCTATGTATTTATTATCAAAGGGGAGCAAGGCTACATTCAAAGTTATGAACCACTGCATTAGACAGTATCATTTGGATTGTAATTCCCTATTGTGGGGTTGAGCAATGGGCTCAATGGTTAGCCCTGTGCACAATGAACCTGGTGACCTGAATTCGATCCACAGCCATGGCTAACATCAGTGGTGACTGGTATTCTAACCGGTCCTGGGCTCTACCTTTCTCTGACTCTCCTCTGACCAGCATGGCCAATGACAACCACTTTTAAGTATTCACTTTTCTTCAACCATCTGAGAATAGAATAAGATACAGACAGACCGTGTTAAATGGGAATCCTATTCCTATAAATTATTGGCAAACCAGATATAAAATTTCGACTTAAAACTTTCGTGACTGCAGGAGTTAATATTCTATGGTTCTTTCGTAAAGTCACGTAGATACCAAATGTCACGATATTCTTTCTTATTTTGTTATTCACTTAATTTTAATTTTTATTTGTATTATTTAATTGTTATTATTTTTTTTAAACTACGTGACTTTACCGAAAGAACCATATAATATGAAAACCAGAAATTGTTGGACTTGAATTTTACGTGATAATAGCACACTCGCACCATCTCTTGTCAGCGATGTAATTGTAATAGTCATAAATTTTGATTTAAAGCTTTCGTGACTGCAGGGATTCATATTCTTGGTTCTTTCGGTAAAGTTACGTAGAAGAGAAACAATAAAATAATAAATATATTGTTTTATATTTTTATTATTTTATTGTTTCCCTTCTATGTGAGTTTACCGAAAGAACCAAGAATATGTAATAGTCATGCTTACTATTTATCCATAAACCCTCATTGAGTCTCAAGACTCGTTTTCAGAATGTCCCTGCATTGGGATCTTTGTCTAATTCCATGACTGAGCAATTGGCGTGGCTATAAACTAAAGTTTCCTGGTGGATCAGTCGGTCCTAACCAGACTCAGGCCTGCATAGCTTTCCAGATCTGACGAGATCGAGCTTTAAGTAGAGCGATTTTGTTAAGGGGCAACATCAACTTTTAATTTCTACTTCACAGCAAATGGGGCGGGGGGTACCTTACACCCTGCATTATTACCGGCTGGCTACATGAATTAAACCACTATTCACGCAAAGTTCCTACATTTTTTCACATCGAAGCGAGGGATAGAGAAAGAGTTAAAGGGGCGGGTCGGAGAATCCAGCATGGCTGGATGATAGACTCAAGTGGCGATTAGTTCAGTGATCCATTTTTTTTGTTGCACATGTTTTCCTTGGCCACTGCCTCCCCCATTGCAGGAAAAGCGATCCTTTGAAAAATGCTGCCTAAATTCGAGCCACATGAAGCGCAGGAGCAATATTCCCACGTGTAGCCGTTCTCGAACAAACCATTCTCACAAGCAACATTATTTACGACAAATATCGCTCTTTGCAATCCCGTCTAATAATACGGGGTTCTTGCATCCAGGCTAATCTGCATTCGTATATTATGAAATTGCACCATTATTGTTTCAAAATTGCACGTTGTTATTTATAACGCCTACGATGTACTCCAGCGAAACTTTAATGCATTTCAAGTTATGCTCAGCATTCGCAAACAACTTTCCTGTTTCGTCTTGAAGAAATAAACACGAGACAATGCCTTTTGGTTTCTGCTATAACTCTGTTCTCCCCCTGCTTCTTGAGTTATCTACCTCAGGGTAGTTTCTTGGTTCACATTCCCTCCATTGTATCGGATTATTTTTACGCAATTTCCCCCCTCCTGTGTTTTAAAGGAAAAAGCCACGGCTGGTGCGTCTTGTAATCTAGTAGGACTGCGTGTAGCGCCCACATTTTTATAACTTTATTTACATCTTACTTTCCGGGGGTGTCATAGTCTGGAGATTATCGTAATTGTACTTCAAGAATTAAACATGGGATGGTGGGGGGGCTGTGCGCTGCCCCCTGACCCCCTCCCGCCGACGCTGTGGGGCTGCATGTCGCTGTGCGTGCGAGGCTGCGGGCTGATCTCTGCATGTCGCTGCGCGTGCAGACGTTGACGAGTGCGCGCGGAGCCCGGCGCCCTGCCCCGGAGGCCGCTGCGAGAACACAAGGGGCGGCTTCCGCTGCGTCTGTTCGCAGGGCTACGCGGCCAGTCGCGGAGGAACAGAGTGCATCGGTCAGTTGGCGACGCTTTGCTGCCGTATTCGCGTGTCCTGTGGGAGGTGTTTCCGCACGCGTGTTGTACGCACGCTGAACTTCCACCGCGGCGTACGTAGCCAGCCGCACTGATCGAAGGTGCGGGGGAAGGACAACAAAAACTAAACACAAAAAATCAGTTCCAAAGGAATGAGTTTTCAATCTAGATTTAAAAGTGCATATCTCCAGTGGCTTCCTAATATCGGAAGGAAGAACGTTCCAGACGGTTGCAGAAGCGCATCTGTTATTATTGTTCTGGTTATTGTCTCCTGCCAGAGCATGCTCGCTGCCCACATAGCAGAGGGTCGTCTGCGCATCCCCTCTCGCGACACAAGCACGTGACCGCCACACTGTGCACAGTACTCGCAGCCTTGTCTAGACCACCAACTCAAAAGGGTCGAGAGTGTGACCGTCTCCTACCCTGTGGCGTGTGCAGAGAGCCGCGTGATCGCACGGCGTCTCTCCGGCGATGTTTAAGCCACTGAAATGCTGTTCCTTTTGTCTTTTAAATATTCACGGAAATGAGGAGTCGATTCGGAAAGCCATCTTATTATCTGAAATAAATTTTTCTGCAGATAAGCAGAGTAAAATCAAGCATAATGGGAAAAAATATGGGTGTGGGTGGAATGATTTTCTGTGAACCATTTCAGTCCTATGGATAATATGAGTTATAGGTAATAGAGTCGTGGATAAGTGATGTTCTGCTGTCTTGTTTATTATTACTTTGGTTGAGTATAACATGCCTCAGTAGTAATCTGATTTTACTGCTTGCTAATACAATAACCATGTCCAAACATAAAAAAACGAAATTCACTGCATTCATCAATAACACCGCATAACAACATCAGAATATATTATAAATAGGCTGACATTTATAGAAATGACGACCCGTATTCAGAGCAAAGAGGGCATTGGTGATGAGAGATTGGCTTTGTGGTTGGGAGATTGGATTTTACAATGTGGGGACATGAGAAATCTGGAACATTTTAGGCGGATTTACAAATGGATTTACAAATGATTAGATTTTTATAAATTCGCATATTAGCATTTGGAGACATCGTGTATTCAAGGACGATCTTCAAAAGTAAAAATAAACAAAGTCACTCATATTGAAAGCAACATTATAACATATCTCTGTAACAGCAACAAAAGCTTAAATATGCTTTGTTGTATGCATAAATAAAATCAGTTATATCAAAGTAAAATTATAAAATATTACTGCACCGCTGGATCATGGCGATTGTTGCACTGATGCAGACTTATTATGCTGAGTATGATTGCCACGATTCTGTGATACTTTGATATTTCGCACGATAAAAAGGTCCACAATAAGTCCTTTCTGTTTCGTCATATAAATGTTTGTCATAGTTTATGTCCTGACAAAATCTACGTAAAATGATAAGAGCACATTAACTAAAGTTCTAACTGGATAGCTATGAACAATTAAAATTAGTGCTTTGTAAAGTTTGCCCATTGACTTCTTGGTGGTGATGTGACTGCATCATTTTGTAGTTTGTGTAATTGTTCAAAGGGTTATCGTACTCTATGGTTCTTTCGGTAAAGTCACGAAGGTAGAAAAATACAACGAAAAATAATAACTGTCAACATGAGCATTATAAGTGTTATAGATTGTAATGTTGCAATGATTATAAGCCTTGTGGCAGGCTTAGACCAAGTGAACTGCTGTTGCAGAACTTTTAAGTAAACCTTTATTTGTACTGGAAGTACAGCAAAGCACGTAAACGATGCAATGAAACTAAGACGTACAACCACAAAGTTACGGGAAACTGATATCACGATAATCATCATTTGGTGAAATTAATATTGTATCATCAAAAGTAATATCGTGGCAAGCTATAAAAAACTCTTTGGTTCTTTCGGTAAAGTCAAGTAAGTATAAAATAAAATACCTACGTGACTTTTACCGAAATAACCAAAGAGTATGGATTCCTGCAGTCACGAAAGCTTCAAATCAAGGTTTAAAATAACTTTCCCATGTGAAGCCATATCAATTTAAATTCTTCGAGTATGTGTGAACAAGTCTGCCTCAGCAGTTACCTAAACCCTCAGTGTATGCGAAAAGGACTGAGGAATTTAGAAAATGTGAAAATGTTCACACATTTCATGTAGTTTAGCATTCACCAATAGATTTCACTGAGAAAGCAAATGGACTGTGTGTGCTGATGTACTCCACTGAGTTACACGACACACACGCGCAAAGGAATGGTGCTTATATACTCCCCAACGATGCCCAAACATGCTCACTTTATTGAAAACACAAGTCCTGCAAGACACACAGGTTTTTTTTGCCAGTGGACGTAGATGTTTAGTCCGTGACATAATCGGGCGGTAGCACTTTTTGTCGCCCGTTAAAGGGGTTTGTGGTTGGAGCCCAGTGGCAGCCCTGGTTAGTGCAGCCAGCGGGGTTTGCAATGATGAAAAAATCAATGAAACACTCTGCTTGTTTCGTAGTCAGGTGCTTAACGATCCCGTTGCATTGTCTGCAAAATATTAGGCCACGTATTTCAGCGTCACAGTCCAATTTTTTTTTTTACAATCACTCGTTGATCACTTAATTGGCTAAAACCACAGTACACACGCTGTCCCGTACTGGGAGACTATGCTCACCTGTGAAACATAGCGCCTTCACGATAGCCTTGTGCTACTACAAGAATGACATGAATATCTACTGTACACAACTGTCATTCTTATTATCTGCAAGTGTGCTGCCGCTTGAGGGAGGAGGGCTGAACAAAGTAAACATAGCACATGGGAGCCCCATAAAGCCTGAATGTGATCTAATCACGTGGCTCAGAGTGGCTGCCCACTCTCCCTATGGACACGATGCTTCAACGTTATTTGGAAGAGATCATCGGTATTTTTTTGATTAAATGTAATTCTTTAAATATGTGGAATGTCAATTTTATTTTTTATATTCTATCCGGCACAGTTTTGCACAAGTCTCCCCCAACTCCTCCCAAAGTAAATATATTTGACGCGCTTTGCGTTAATTTATCTGCTTGTTAGATCTCAAACCACATTTTTTGGGGGATGGGAAACGGTGGGGGGCAGGGTGCAATGACTAAAACTCCAGACACAGACACACACACACGTGTATCTGTAAAGCGATACTGCGTCTTCTGTCCATTCATGGCACCATCCCTCTCCCCCTCCAGACGTGGACGAGTGCGAGAGGGCGGACGCGTGTGGTGGCAACGGGCGTTGTGTCAACACAGCAGGGGGCTACACGTGCAACTGCGACCGAGGGTACTCGCTGTCCACCGACAAGGGCAGGAAGACGTGTCACGGTTCGCCCCCACCGCACGCCCGCGTGCACAGCGCGTGGCCACCACCGCACGCAACTGCCTTAGAAAAAACTCCAAAGCCGTCACTTTGTTCTTTTTTTCCGTGCAATTCACATTTCTCTTGTCTATGGACGCTCCTCCAAAACACCGGGTACCGTATTTACACTTACAACACGTGCTATTTCTGATACAGCATCTTTCCGTAGTTCATCAAACATTTTTCGCGTTTTGGGAAGTCCACAGAAGTCACCTTCAGGGAGAGACTCGCCGCTCCGAATTGGATGTGGAATTTGTACCATTGGCCTTAAGCGCTTCAAACAGAGATGGGCACCGTTTTGTTTATTTTTATATAATAATTTAATGGCTAGGTGAGACTCAAAGAAACGTTGTGTTTGTTTGCAAGGAAGAATTGATCAAAATAAGTACAAGACTAACACTCGTGACTACTATATCACCATCCTTTGTCAATCCACTACTGGTTGAATGCATCCCCATGCCATTTCGGTCATGTGGGTTGTTGGCCCATACTTCACCACTCTAGTCAGTGTGGGTTCATATTCTTGGTTCTTTCGGTAAAGTCAAGTAGATACAAAAAAATTATAATACATTGAAAATAATAAAAGCAAAAAACCACAATAAAACAATAGTAAAATAAAAAAATACATAAAAATTGAAAATAATAAAAGCATGTTTTATAGTTTTATTATTATTTTTTTCTATCTACGTGACTTTTCCGAAAGAACCAAGAATATCAATTCCTGCAGTCACGAAAGTTTTAAGTCAAAATTCAGTGTGGGTTGTTGGGAGGCAGTTCAGACATCACCCACCAGTGATGTCAGCTGTCGCCGGGCATAAGACTGGCAGCCAGGTTCACAGTGCAGTGCACAATCCACTGTGCCATCTTGTTTGTCTGTCTCATTTGTGACTTGGTGCTCGTGACTTCTTAGTTGCGTAGTCCACGTCATGACATTGCACACTTAATTCACATTTGCATGCAGCAACGAACCAATTCTACATCCACACGTCTGCAAAACATCCACAATTCATCTCAAGTCACGGTTCGACGATTGTCAATCCGTGTTGGACCGTGCACCACCATGGCATGCACCTGGATTCCTTCCGTAATTGTGATTCATTTTCGCGTAACTCGTAAAATAAAAAAAAATCGTCGTGGGTTTCCTAAAAATGAAATTCTTGTTTTTTTAAACGGGCTCGCGATGCATTTTTCGTTCTGACAAGAGCGATGGCTGTAGATGAGCTCCATTCATGTGTGCAGCGTTAGTCAGGGGAGCTGACAAACAAATCCACCTCACTGGCGCCACAAACTTGGGCCTCTGGCGCCGCGGAGCAAGAGCTTAGTGGAAAGCGGTGGGGGGAAATAATTTAAATTTAGTGGCACGCTAACCCTTTGGCATAGCCGAGGTGTGCTTCGAGAAAGGCCGCGAGGCCGTGCGGCCGTGCATGTGTTTGGAACGATGACCAAACGTTTCAGATGAATTGAAATGCGATTTTCTTTCACCGTTTTTTGACGTGCCTGATGACTCTCGGGGGTACTGGGCCATCTCAAGGCAAAAAACATGATACTTTAGCTCACACATGTGCTTGTTATTTCCTACATTTCTGTTGTATGTGAAAATGTTTTCAGCGTCTTTTGTGCACCGTTGCACAAAAAATGTTTGGTGCAATGTTCAGTTTTTTGAGAAATTTTACTTATGCCAGAGGAATGTGGAATTTCTTACCAATGGCCCAAAAAATGTACAATCTAAATTCTAAACAAGGAAGGAAATTTCTGAATCCGTTTTCAACATGCGTTTGTCCTCAGAATTATGTTTTATATGAATGTGTACAACTTGCTGTGACATGAATCATACACGTGGACATTTATGAAGAAAATAGAAGAGCGACTATAAGGTGTTTAATAAAGCATGGCGAGGTGCTTCCTTGGAGTTACTCACGGATTGCTTAGCGTTTAGCGATGGGGGTTCTTTTCATAAAGTTTTGGATAGCCCTGTGCATGAATGTATCCGGTTTTCTCATGGCTACGTTCCAAATAGACACAACTTTATTGTAAAATGTTATTTCTATTGGATTATTATTATAAGAGTTATCGTGATCCCTGCCCTGCCAGACAGACACAGACAGATAGACAGAGCTAATGCATTAATGTTTTAAACCTTAGTTGGAAAACGTTTAAAGATAAATACAAACCATCAAAACAACATAAACATCGAGCATAAGGTGTCGATTAACGAGTGGAGAGTACCGATGACTTAGAGGAGTTATTTATGTTTATCTTAAGCATGTCTTAACCTAGGTAGTTATCAGATCGGAAGACTCTAATATCCATTCCTTGTTTTAAATTCCAATGTCAAATATCTACTCAGGTGGCCTGAGTGTTGCACCTGTACAGTGTAGTGCTTATCACTTCCCAAGAGAGGATTTTGTGGTTGAGAAGCTGCCTGAAAATTGAATACAATTGTGGTCCCAAAATATTAAATGCAACCCTATATGGTCTTCATTTAATAATAGTAACTGACATTGGGCTTTGTATGCTTTACATTGACTTAAGCTAAAAAAAATGTTTAATGATAATACGGTGTTATTTATTGGTTATGCTTCCTTGAAACTAGTGTGGAAGAATAGCCGGAAACCCTCAAATCTTATGGGAAAATCTTAGGTTTTCGAAGTTTAAAATCTGATGTCATATTTGACTTGGACACCCGTAAACACCTCCACACATACAACCTTTCATGGGCCTATAAAGCCATACGCACTTTATTTGTGCTTAATTTCAGACCTTCACTCATCATAAGACATTACAACAGTTACTCATTCACTCCCTAGTAGCCATATATAGCCACTTTGGGATATACAGATATTTTATTTTTGATAGATAACTGATAACCTCGAAAACTGAAGTGATATTTATTTGTGCACATGTTTATGGGCATTTGTTTCCTGCACTCTACAATCTTTATTTTCTGTTCTCGTCTTCCCGTTTTGTAGATGTAAATGAATGTGAGAACACCATCCTGTGCCCCGGGGGACGCTGCGTCAATCTGCCAGGTTCACACAGGTGTGAATTCTGCGATCCTGGCTATCAGATGAGTCGGAAGAAAGAGTGTGAAGGTTGGTTTTCAGTTGGACATATACTATGTTGAACTTCTTTCGCACCATACGTAGCCAACTGTGCTTATTGGGGTTGTGGGAGAAGAACAACAAACTAAATGTATTTTTGACATGTTCTTGGAAAACACACGAGGTTATTATTTTGACACGTCTCACACATCTAGACTAATACATAATGCATGGATGAGGATGACACGTAATATTTTCAGAGCCAGATGTTGCAATCAAACGAATCCGTCCCGTGGGTGAAAACCCATCAGCACATCCAGCTCAGAACTGCACATGTCCAGTGGGAGTGCCAGCAAGCTAGGGAATATGTCCAGTGGGCAAAACTTGGACGGTGCAGCTGGTAAGACTTTTCACATTCCTGGAAGGAGAGCTAGCAAGCATGTGAATCTGTCTAGGGCAGGATTTATCTACTCTGCTCCTCGTGATGCCGCCCCCCCCCCCCTCCCGGTACAGCTTTCCTTAATTACCAATCATCAGAGTACCTTGGTAACCTGATTTGCCAATGCATGTAAAACACATTATGTGGTGATATTGCGTTGGCAGTGGTTCGCAAAGCATAAGTTACTAACAAAAAAACCCGTAGGACTTATGTCAATAACACTGCGACCTTAAAAGGAAAACGTATATAGAATGGGTGATGTTTTGGGTAATTTCACAGCTTCACAGCACATGGAGAGGACAGACAGGTGGAGTGGATGAGAGAAGGAGACTGCATACTCTTTGGTTCTTTTGGTAAAGTCACATAGGTAGAAAAAATAATAGATCACGACGTTTTGATTGCAACACAAGCAATCGTCTTCAGGTGAAAAAGAGGGGGAAATATGCTGAGGCAGGCTGCTAATAAAGGTTTAGAGATGGGCGGGGCAGCTCATGTTAAATGTAGGAGCGAGTAGGAGAGAGACATTTGCTTGTAAATTTAAGCTCGGCGAGGCTTGGAAATTTGAGAGTCGGCTCATCAATATGAGCAGGTAGCAAGAGAACATCAAAGCAGTTAAAACTTTACCTGGTTGATTACGTCCTTCCAATGATTGCTTCATTTGGATGGGAAATATCAGCCGGACATAAAATGAGACGGCTTTTGCATTTGTAGGAATTCTCAGCAAAAGTTACCATTAGCCATTAGCTCCCACCCAAAATGACCATAAATCAATATACCATTGAGTTGTAAATTGTGCCCATTATATGTGCATATGTGTACAAGGTATATTGTGGAAAAGGATCATTGTAGTTGGTTAATCGTAATGTGGCCTGACCCAGGGAAGATGCCCATAACAAAATATATTGATTTTGCTCTGTCCAGAAAAGCATAAGAAACACTGTTGGGAATCGGGAGTTATTGCAGGAATTTGGTTTGTCATTTAGAAGGCCAAAAACTAAATCTAAGTGAATAAATCACGGATCGAAAATTAAATGACTCGAGAATGTGATATCATGCATTAGCCGTGCACAACTAGTTGACGAATGTATTTGAATAGTGTGCAGCAGCATGTGCAACATGCAAACGGCATGCCAAAGACTTTTGCAACAATTTGCCAATGCCAAAGCAATTTGAAAATAGGGGGAAAACAAAAACACATAACAAAAGTATATATGTACAGTATATATATAAAAGAACAGATGAGCTCATCTCAGGGAACGGTGCAGGAAATTAGCTCAAAGGGAAATAACAAATACCTCAACTACACCCCCCCTCTCTCCCCCCCATCTCAACCTTATTGCTGCAGATATTGACGAATGTCAGAATCCCCAAGCTTGCATTAATAAGAGGTGCGTGAACATTCCTGGGGCGTTCGAATGCGTCCTGTGCCCTACTGGCTTCAAGGCGGCTGGAACAAAATGCGAAGGTACGCCAATTTTTGTGCAAACAGAAACGATTTATTATTTTATTTGTTTACACACATATATATGTTTTCAGTGGGGATTATTTTATTATAGTTGCTTACTTTAGTTGGCCTTTAACATTTGTTTTAAACAAACACACACAATTGGCAAAAATACATTTACGCACAATGATAAATAGTGGCGGGTTTTGTTTTATATAAATGTATCATTGTTCCAACTAAACTGTGTTTGTCGACTGTCAGTGTTTGTTGATTCGTTTGGTTAACCCAGTTAGCGGGTTGCATGCTCGGCAGGGGAGCATCGCGTTGCAATGGCTGGGGCACAGTGCTCACACTGAAGTCTAGCTTTTGTGTCCAGTAAGATTCTCCTCTAGGTTAACTTACTTTGGTGGAATTGGGAGTTCTGTTACGGCCGCAGCATCGACATCGAAAATTCGAGCACGTGGACACACACCGTTGATGCTCGCGCTTGTGTATGAAAGGCGTATTGCCCAGATTAACAAAAACATCTTCCTGCTCACTCGCTGCGGCAGATGTGAACGAGTGTCTGAACAGCACGGCGGTCTGCAGGGACGGTCGCTGCATCGACCTGCAAGGGTCTTACAGGTGTTCCTGCAACCCGGGCTTTGCTCCGTCTGGAAATGGAAAGCGCTGCGATGGTACGCAATTCATCCACGCGTACACCGCACGCACGCCGGACATCTGTGAAAAAGAGCTTAGGATGAGCTCATCAGACTCCTCCAGGATAAAAAATAAAATCTGATCCTGACACGCACACACATATGTGCGTACGTACACACAACTGGTGGGTAATTTTTCCTTACATCAATGCTCCAGAAATATCTCCAGGTCTCGAATTGAAAATAAAAAAACAGCAATAAAAATCTTAAGTGAATGGGATTTTTTAAATGTCACATGGTGACCCCTATAAATCTTTGTAATTTGTGTATATATATAGACTATCCCCCACCATTGTAATTAACAGCCGTACTTGGATATTGCACACACAAGTACGAGGAAAGAGAGTATTGGAAGACAGGAATCCCGGTAGAGAATAAACAATGCAGTGATACTGGATAAAAACAGATCACCCTGGCAGAGGGTTGTTTTGGTCCTATTGCCGCTAATGAGCTGATGCAAGGGACAGATGACGACGATGTCTTTTCGTGCACGCAACATGGGATTCACGTGCACATTTGTGTGTCTACGCAGACGTGGACGAGTGTGCCGAGCGCCCGTGCCAGAACGGCGAGTGCGTGAACACGCCCGGCTCGTTCAAGTGCTCCTGCCCACCCGGCTTCCAGCTCAGTGACGGCACCAACTGTCGAGGTGAAACCGTCTACGGCACGCTCACGTGTTTCATGTCGCAAGGGGGGGGTAAAAGGAAAAAAAGTGTATCCCTGAAATTGCTTGCTCACACAACCACTGCCGGCAGAAGGGCCTCCATTCAAGATACGCACGAGTGAGCCTCTCGCGAGGATATTTTGGCCTACTTTTCCACGCTGAGCTAGACATCTTGGAATAGGTGAGAGCACGCACACTTTCACCCAGCACCACCCACCAGATTCATGTTTGATTATTTTACGGGGACATATTTTTTATTAATATATACATTACAGTTGCATTTAAAAAGGCACCAGCAGTGGCACGAGCAAGCATTTAGAGAGCTGCACCTTTACATCTTACCCAGGCAATGAGCAAAATACAGGGGTGACAAGTGGTAGTGATTTTCCGTCACTCGCTCGCCTTGTTTAGATATCGATGAGTGCTCGACGGGCAACGAGTGTGAAGGCGGCACCTGCATCAACACGGTGGGATCGTTCCAGTGTGGATGTCAGCCGGGCTTTGCAGCCCTCCCCGGCACAGACTTGTGTGCAGGTACCACTGCAGTGCCTCTGGCACATTATCTTAACCAGAAATGTGCTTGAGAATGAATCACATTATCACGTGTCTCCCGGAATTTTTTTGTGTCATCATATCTGGAAGAATTTTAAAAAATTCTGCATTTAATGCTACATCTTTTTTATTTCCTATTCATCGCCACGTGGGTGGTAAGCCCCTTTACAACAAGATGTTGGCATGTTAATATCCGAAACGAAAGATTGTTACATGAGTGTGATGCTTTAGGACTTACACTGGTTGAATAAGCTATGTGTCAACACTCCAGCTTTTTTGCATGCTTTACAGTCCAATTAGCATTGTGTGTGTCTGTTTTTTATTATAGCATGTCTTGATCATGTTTTTTTTTCCAAAATGAGCTGGTTCATTGCTTTATGGCTTTTGGGCACTGGCATTTTCACTTGCACTTCAAAGTGCATGTTGTTTGAATTGAAGCTGCATAACCTCACTAAGAGCCATTTCCCAAGTTTCAGGGTCTGAATTAGCTTGGCCTTGAGGGTGTTGACAGCTATATTTGGGGCCCTGTTTACAATTTTAAATGGCATTGCTTTCATGTTGTTTGACAAAAAAAACATTCCATGTTTCCTTTTTAGTATTTTTTTCTTCTAAATATCAGAACAAAGCAAACTTCTCTCTCTTTGGCTGGGGCATCTGGTCCTAATTGTGGCTAATGTTCCCTATTTGGGGCTTAATTTTTCAGGGTGCTTACACGTAAAGTGCATTCAACTGCTCTGTTTTCTTGATACTGATTCACATATAATTGCAGGATGTGGCTTTTTGAGATTAATAATTTTGTTCGACTGTCATAAACGTGCTAGGATTATATTTTAAACAAATTGCTAAATGCTTGTTCCTGTGTCCCATTAGTTATTTGTTTTATATGGTTTGTACAATCGGTTTGGGAGTGTCGGTGCCCGTTTCATAATTTAAATGTGCAGTCACTGCATTGTACTCCATTTGTTGTACATAGTGTTAGTGGAGTCTCACTTTGTTGTATTGTTGAAAAACTATTCTGATGATGTAGTATTCGTATGAATCGCTCGCGAAAATATCACTAAAGCTTAAAGCCTAAATTTCAGGAGCGTAAGTGCATGTTGTTTGAATTTAAACTGCATTCTCTTACTAAAGAACCGTTTCCCAGGTTTCAATGTCTGAATTAGCTTGGCCATAAGGGTGTTTACAGCTACATTTGATGCTACCTTTGGGCAGAGTATGAACGAAGACTTCTTAGGGTGTTAGGCCATTCACTTTGATTGCTATTACATGCGGGAATTGGAATGCCTGGAGAAAACACACACGCACGCACGCAGAATGGAAAATACTCGAGCTTTTGCACAAACGGGTCAGCAACCTGCGTCTTTTGTTACCTGTTGAGAGAACATACAGGTTGTGACTGCACTTCGAATCTTTCCAAAGTCAGATCGCTATCGCCCGGTGATCATTGCTCCTCTTGAGGCAGCCTCCCGGCCTCATGCAGGATGTTAGTCACAACGTTTCACTCTCCGGCTGCGTGATCCAGGGCGCATTCCTGCACACTGACTGGGAGTCCGCCCCCTCTCAGTGGAGGGAAGAGGAGGGAAAGGGCCTTCTTATATTTTTATTCCGTTTGTTAACACATCAAAGCGGCGGAGACTTGCCATTTCCCAAAACGGGTTCAAAAACACAGACGTTGCTCCGAAGACTGGAACACCAAACAAGTGGGAACAAAAAATTAGTGGCAGCCGTGACGCAATTCCAAGCAAAACAGCTGTGCTGCGCGGGGTGAAGATACGCGCCAGCGTCCACTGCTCGCTTCCACGTGAATTTGCAATACGTATTTAGTCTTCAAGATTTCATCTGCCACATTGTTTACATGCTCGCATGTAAAGTCGTGTTTATTGCTTTCTTTATTACTTTTTTTTTGTTTTTTAGCTGCTCCTATATGTACTAATCATACACAACAAGCGCATTGATGTTTGGGGGAAGCGGTGGTGCAATGATTAGGCCACTGCTCTGAACCCCACTTAACTAACCTGACGTGCCCCGTGTGTTGAAGTATCATCACCTGACCCTTATGACCCATACGGAATGGGGAAGCCCTCATCCAGCTCAGGGCTATGACGGGCTATACATTACGATTATTATTTATGTCAGGGGTCAATCGCCTTGAGACATGAGTGGAAGGCGCCTTAAAAATAAATGTCAGTGATTCATATTAATTAATTGCATATGATGTACATTTAACGCTCCATATTCAAAATGTATCGTTCACATTTGCCGTATCTGGTATATTGAGAAAGTTGGATAAATTAAGCCCTATGCTCTGGGTATATGAGCATTAATTATATTCTTAAGCTGAGGGAGCGCATCAATAGCCAATTGTGAAATGTGTTCATAGCCTCATTTGCGAGTTATAGTCCCGAAGTGGAGCAATATTGCACCCACCTCTCTTTTACCCACAATAACTCATACACATTTCCATTCTTCCCTGCGCTGACCTCCCATATGTTAATTTTGTCCCTTAATGTTGTTTCAATTATGAAATTTGAACTTATAGTACGGTATTTCTTGACAGTGTTACATGCAAATGTACAATATTTCTTAATTATTAGTGTAACAATGTGGTGTAACAATGATTCCGTTTTTGTTGAACCGTAACACATTTCATAACACTGATCGTATGGGCATTTAAACACAGTGCATTATTGTGTTCCGACTTACTAACAATTCGACTTACGAACGGATATCCGGAACAAATTAGGTTCGTAACCCGTGGACTGCCCATATAAACTTTACGTATATTTATTTTGTTATTTTCTTACCTGTCCTCTATACTTTGCACTTCTCTAGCATATTTTTGCATTGTTGTTGTAACTTTCTTACACGCCCTCCCTTACTGGAGATCCGAGAAAAAAAAAGAAGCTTCGCAGCTCGTCGATTTTCTCCAGGATAAATAATGATTCTGATTCTGGTTGTTGCTCGGCAGATGTGGACGAATGTGACAATGCGACCGCGTGCAGCGAGCACCAGTACTGCATTAACTCCATGGGGTCGTTCCAGTGCCACTGCGACCAAGGATACCAGACCGCGAAGGAGGGACTTGGCTGTGTGGGTACGTAGGCCACACGAGACGCCAAGAAGGCACGCGTCACCCACAGCTGTGTGTCACAAATGCGCTTTGCTGCTCGGTCCTCCATGGTGCTTTTGTGCGCAGTTATTCGTGAATAAAGTCGAGTGAAATGTCGGTTATCCTACCGTCACGTATCCACCCTGACTTAATGGACTACCCACACCCAGTGTGGTGTGTGTGCATGAAGTAACTGTCATATCCGAACCTTTTCACATATCCACCTGTAGCTCAGTGCCCACTCAGTCTGGTATGCTATATTGTATAGTTTTAGAAATACGAATTCTAAAAATTATTCACATTGCCAACCACCTTACCCTGTTTAAGTCTAGGCTCAAGACCTTCCTTATTTATTTTGCTCAGCGCTAATGGTCTTTTCCAAATAAAACGTCTTCAGTCGTACCTTATTTCATTCTCTTAATGTTTATGCGTCTAACTTGTAAAACAATAAAGGATATGTGCAGTCCTTTGTCAAGCCACTCCACTGGTAGCTAGATGGAGGCCTTCCCATACCGTCTTGGAGTCACGGTGTATGCTTTACCCTTTCTCCACTATGCTGGTCAGTGCGGGTTGGCGATGGCAGAGGCCCAGGTCTGGTTCAGATATGGCTCACCGCTGATGGTAGCCATGGCCAGACGTTTAATTTAGGTAGCTAGGTCACAGGATAGTGAGAAAACTACTGTGCTGCAGCTCCACCAAAACGTGGTTGTATCACCATGATATTCCACTGTGTAAACCTTCATCACATCTCATCCACAGAGGCATTGAACAAATGACAGCTTACCCTGACTAGGCTCTGTTTCATCTCAAACGCACCTCAAATTTGTCCTCTCATCTAAAATACTAATTGATGAGCAAACAATATGTCTCTTTCATGAATCAGTTTCTCCATGTAAAAAATGAAAGTAAATTTTGCACAACCCATCGGCTCGCAATGATGCGAATTATTACTTTGCATTCGTAGATCAATGATGTCCATAGAACAGGAACTTAATGTGGACTCACACCTCTCCACCCAACCAAGTCACATACTCCCCTCTTACCCCTGCCCCCTTCCCAGCGAACCCTATCCTACCCCGTAATTGTTTAATATATGGGGGGAAAAAGTTGGAAAGGAATTTAATTTATTTGATGAACGCAGATGATGAAACAGAAAGCACACCTGAGCAGGTTTCTCCGGTACATTTTTTTATTGTTATCACCGAATTACAAACGAATCTTTCAACGAGATAAACTCATCCCGACAATGACGCTTCCCCCGTCCTCTCGTGGCAGATATCAACGAGTGTGAAACGATCACCGAAGTGTGCGGCTCGGAATTGTGCGACAACGAGGAGGGCACCTTCCTGTGCATCTGCCCGAATGACTATCAGGAGTTCGACTCGCAGCTCGGCAAGTGTGTGCCAGAGCCCACTGGTGAGAGGCAACCTTCTTTCCCACGAACAGCGTCCGGCACAAGCCGCACAGCCCATGGCACGGCTTCTCAATGGGATACGGGCTCTTGCCACAGTCGTAAGATCGTGATCCATCTACACGGCGCTCATTGGCTTAACCCAACTCAATGAGATAGCACCACAATATTCGCAGGAAGTGAGATCCATTTTTACACTCCAGCAAGGTCCCTGAGAACTTCAGATCGCCTTCTTGTCAGCACTCCAAGGTCAAGGCTCATTTCCTGTGGTGACCGGGCTCTTACCAGAGCAGCTCCCCCCAAGCTTTGTAGCAATGCTTTGCCTTTGCTAATGAGACAATCGGAGTCGTTGGAGCTATTGAAGTCTGTCTTGAAAACTCACCTCTTTAAACTGGCCTTTACCCCCCACTAGTTCTGGCTGTTTACCCTGCAGGCTCTGTTTAATTCCTGCTTTCCATACATGGTGGCGCATTGGGATCCACGGATGAAAAATTCGGCTCACAATGTAAATTATTGTTCTTATTACGTCCTTAATTTTCACCGGACAGCCCCACTGTGTCTCGAGACTTTTGTTAACAGAGAGTGCCACATTGAAGTGTTTGTTCAGCACTATTTATTCAACAGTTTCATGTGGGAGGAAACCAGAATAGGCGAAGTCAAACTGTTGCTTACGAGGGTTAACACTCAACAAAGTCATCTCCACATCAGAGTCCCACGCCTACAACACCTGGGAGTTCTTGTGGTGCTAAATGTTGAGAAATGATTACGTGGCAACTGCCAATTCTGTCACGTGTGCATTGTATGTTTATTCTCAGCTGTCTACGGGAACCCCTCCACTCCTCAACCAGAACCACTGCAGGCTGGAATCCACAACATCCCAGGATACTCAAGATACCCAGGTAGATCTTCTTTCGTATGGCTGTTGTAGATGTAGAGCAACAACTACAATTTCACATTGAGGTGGTCAAGCCAGACAACCGCGTCGGTATTGCCGTAACGTCGCCTTCGCATTTGTGAATCGGGCAGTGCATCGTTATATGTTGTATGCTCTGTTCTGGATTACCACAGCCGCACATTGGAGAGTTTTTCATTTTCCATGTGTGCATCAAGTATTCGCATCTGTCATGGTTTGTGCGAATGCGGTGATTTGCTGTTACATGAGGAAAAGGAATATTAAAAGCAGAGCCTCACTGAGTCCTAAGACTCTTTCAGGAGTGCCCTGCACTTGCACGTTTTGCCAATTCCATTAATTAATTCCAGTGTTTTGCAAGTTAGAGGAAACTGGAGGACTTGGCGAAAACTTGCCCGTACAAGGGAATAAACACGCAGATCTCCACACAGATGGATGAAAGAATCGAAATATCTGTACAATTTTTCGTGGCTACCTCACAAGCCCAGCAGGTTCGAGAGTTTCCCCAAATTGTGTGTGATCTGCTAACCCTTGCTTGCAAAGTGCTGGATCACGGGCGTGCACAGCCAACCTGCCTGGCTGTGTTAAAATTATCTCGCTGCATTCGTTCACACTTACATGACAAATGATAGTAACTGTCAACATTATAAGGGCATATTTTCAATTTGGATTGCTCAATGTAAACCTTTCGTCTTGTCTCACTCCCAGAATTTGTGGATTCATCAGAGCACTATCCGCAGCACCCATATCGACAAGAGACCAGACTTCGTGGTAAATACTCAAACCCTATACCTTAATCTGCAGAACACCTGTAATCTGACGATACCTAAGCCCAAATGTAAATTGTAATAGACATCACCTGTACTACACAGATGACACATAGATACCACAGACTGAAGTTAAAATTTGCACAACAGTTTAAGATATAGTACTCGCCATTGAGCGATATTTTAAATGAGGTGATGGATTTGACCTATCTGGAAATGTAATGATTTGTCATAATTCGAGGTTGCTATTTAATTCAAGAATATAAAATTTTTGTGTTGTTTTTACGACCTTTTTTAATTTCTTTATATTTATTTCTGCCGCATTTGCAGTTTTATTTTCTCTTACAGCTTAAATGAATGGGATTTTCGTCTGCATAGACTTTTCATGTATCAAAAATGATTAATTCTCTCTTGCACAACTCAATGCATGCAAAGCATAGGAATACATGTACATCAATTAATTTCTACATCTTTTCATGCCAAATTAATACAATTATGTATTAGTTCCATGTAAAAACACATTATGCAAAATAAATAGCAAGCATTACTTTAGGGCGTTCTATTGCCATTGAATAGAATGCTTATTTTGGTTGATCCATTTAATTTATTTGGGCAATGTGGCTCGTTCCCATATTTGTTTCTCCACGTTCAAATTTTAGTTTTTGTTCCACAACCCATCGGCCACACGGCCTTCAGGGGACTGCATCCTATCAGCAAAAATGGTTCAGTAGAAGCAGAACTGTGGACCATGAATTAAAATTACATTTCCGCACTTCGTTCAGCTATCCTTTGTGTCCGTGTCACTTCAGAAAAAGACCTAGACAGCTCAGTGGGCCTTACTTGATTTAAAATAAAAATGCAAGTTTTCATGTAGTTTTAAAATTCGGTGTGTGATGCTTGCTTCACGATTATTTTGGGTTGAAGTGGAGGTGAATCATCATCATGATCGTCATCGTCGTCGCGTGCGTCCCCATTGCCCTGGCAGAGCCGGTGGGCGTGCCTGCAGCCCACGTACCAGCCGAGAGACGCGAGTGCTACTTCAACGTCAATGACGAGAACGTCTGCCGGAACGTCCTGGGGCGCAACGTGACGCGTGACGAGTGCTGCTGCACCGTCGGCGCCGGCTGGGGCACCGACTGCGAGCCCTCGCCCTGCCCGCTGGAAGGGACCAGTAAGGATTAGGGCACAGGCACGGGCCTGCAACTGAGGGGTGCTACCTGCCCTGGTTTTTACCAGGATCCATATAGTTAGACACGGTGGCAAGATGATGTTAACTATCTCGCCTGGTATACAGGAGGTCGTGTGTTCGATCCCGTTCCTGGCACCTGTATATTTTGAATTTGCAGTGGATTGATTAAAGGGCCGTAAAAAGCACAGAAGGCAATCCCAATGGCAAAGCGCACTAATGTTGTTGATACACACCTGGGCTACGTGCCACGGGCTATCTGACCCGAATTTGAAGATTTGTTCATGAGAAAAAAATGACTTTAAATTTACAGCCAGGTACCTCATTATTGTGTTTAGTTATATCACTTCTATGGCACTCATGCCTTTCAATCCATTAGTGCAGTGGCGTCACTAGAGAGCGATAATTCAGCACCTGACCGTGATAGGAAAGTGTACTGTTCCTTATTAATGAAGTATTCAACAGAATTGGGACTTCCTCGGACACAGCTTAGGTACGTATATACAAAGTAAGAACTAATTTACGTGTGGTGTTGAGTTTTTCTTTAAGCCACAATCATGTTCCCTTAAAATCCTGCTTCATAACGAATTGATCCCATTCAATACCGCTGTCATATATCGGATGGAGCTCCCAGGAAATATCTGACTGCGGTCCCGGTCCTGCTTAACAGCATCTGGTGTAAAGCTGGGGCCCCGATTGATTATTCCGTTTTCAGATACACTCGTCGCTTCCTCTTCAGTCTGTTGCCCCTTTCTTTCTCTTCTATTGCTAGTATACTTGTCACTTCTCTGAAGAACTCTTAGCATACTGTCTACGTCTACTGTAAACTTCTGCACCGTGTGCGTTTGTCTCAATATGGGACAAGAATACATCTTTCCTCTTTCCTGTCAGAGATACACTTTGAAACTCACGAAAGCGACGTGTCTCCCTATACTCGTATACCCTGATGATTGAAGTATCACGTCAGCTGTCACATACACTCATTGCACTGCTTATCGTAATAAACGGCTGCTTTGTGTTTATAGGTCTAGGGCCTCTGCATATCAAGTGTAACAATACAAAAAGAATTAGCCACTGTTGAGAAGCATTAACCCATTTGAAACGTCTTGGTCTATTTACAACAAAGCTGCCTATCCTGTTGCTTTTGACATACCTATGCACACGGCTGGATTAAGACTGTTCTCAAGATGGGTAGCAGCAGGGAGCGACCATGTAGGATGTTGAAGTCTTTATTTCTATAAGATCCCTTCGTCCGCAATTTGCAATGCTGACATAGCATCGCCTCCAGATTCCTACGCAATTCTGTTTTCGCTTTCTCAGGAAATTCTGAGGAAGAATAAAAAAAAACACTCGCACTTTTTACAAAAGGATTGTTTTTTTTGTTGCTATAATAGTTTACGCGGCCCCTTTCTCAGTTTACAGGGAGAACCCAGATTAAGAGCACATGGGTGGCTCACAACATTGAGCAGGACCTCAGAATTACAGCCACGAGCAATCTTGGCGCTTAGAAATTCTGTGGCTCGGTAAAGAAAGCACAGTGATATGGATTCCTATGCGATAGCCACGTACGTGCGTGGGTTGGCACAGCAACGTGAATGTCAAATGTTTGATATAAATGACCCAGAGAGATACTTGCTCTGGAATGCAATTACGCCACCTCGGTTGAAATATTTGCACTATAATGTACAGAGGCATTGCAAATCCACTGCTGGATGAAGACCATCTCACGTTGCGTTTGGCTGTGGGAGTTGTTCGACCATAACCTAGCCACGCTGGTCCAGTGCGGGTTGGTGAAGGGGTGGTCCCAACTGTGGTTGGATGTCACAACTCGGGTAGCTGATATCATGGCGCAGTGTGTTAGCCACTGTGCTACCATGCCCCCCCCCCCCCTCATCGGTATTGAGCATATTGAATGTGACTGTTTGGAGCATTTGACTTCTAATATTGAATGCATTACTTTAGTCACTGGACTATCTCACCGGTAGAGTGGCTTTTGAGCTTATTTGTAATAAAGCGCATGCTGTACTGAGGAACATACAAACCTGTGCTGGTAAAACAAATAGAGGTTAAATGTTTGAAGAATGTATGGCCTCTTCAATAAACACCAGCTCGAATGTACAGGATAAATTAAGTCTGTTTGGTGGAAGAATATACACCCAGAAATTACAGCACTGCACAGTGGAATCTCGCGTTCACATCACTTCTGTTGACAGTCGGCCAGCCAAGCGATCTGTGAGAACTGTACTTTCTAGAGAGTTTATTTCCAAGCTGATCTGACTTGCCGCCGTCGTACATGTAAACCCCTCGACGTTGAAAATAAAATTGCCCGCATCTCTTCCGAACAAGTAACTTTCCCGGACGCTGCCGGGATTTTCTGGCATTACGTTGTCTGTGGTTTTGAACTGGAAAGAAACAGTTTTTAAAAAATATATATTTCTTATTTTACTCTCGCTACAGCCAACTGCCAGCTGTTACAACTACCAGCTGCCCTTGCTTCAAATACATAACATCAAGGCTCCCATTGTTAATGGTCAGTTACCCTCGTAATGACAGTGTGTGTTCCACATCGTTGCAAGCCCAGATGGCTTTGCGTTGTTTGTTGTTGAATCTTGCAGGGGAATTTAACGAACTTTGTCCAGAAGGCAAAGGACTCGTCCCAAGCCCCAACGGGAGAGGATATCGAGGTTGGTATTGAGTTTGATTTCGAAATGTTGTGCAATGTGGATTGGCATCATCATAATCACTACCACCACCACCGTTTATCATCTTAAACCTCATCAGCAGCCGATATTTAGTGGTGGTTATTGCACCTTTGTCATTTCAGTCAGCAACTCACTTCGCATCGCCTGTTCCTCATCGCGAGGCCTATAAAGTATCGCCTCCCCCTCCTCCCACTCCGGAATCTATGATTCGGTAACTTTTCATAATTAGGCATCACAATTCAGGAACAGATTTTTTTTACGTAACCCATTACTTGCAACAATTGAATCCCAGAGTGATCCATTCTTTCACGCACAATTTCATGCATTTATTGTGGTTGTAACATATCAATCGATGGATCGTTGCTTGCCTACATCTTTATGATCGTATTGCCGCTCTATTTACTGAAGAGAAACGTACAGGAGTCTCAATAGTCTTGTTAGGGGGCTCCCACATTGGCAGTTTGGCAAAAATCCGTATTGAATGCCTCTGGCCTGCTGTCATCATCGGCATCATTGTCATTTAGCATAACTTCATGAACAGACACCTACCACCAGGCATCAATTGAAACCCATCAATCGAAGATCTGTCATCATTGTCATACACCTGTCTCACTGTCAACGGTGGAATGCTGTGTTTACATTTTGGCTTGGAAATATCCCTTTGTACTTCTAACTTCTAAAGAGAGGAATGTGCTCAAATTGGCAGCACTGCCTGCCGTATTGAGCTGATATGGCACACGCAGTTATGAGTTTGTGGGAAGTATCAAAAAGATGAATGCGCAAAGTGTATCGAAAATAATCAACTTTGACAGGCCTGAAAAAAACATCCCTTTGAAGATGAACCATTTGGAATTGAGTTACAATTCATTTCAAAAGATCATCCTCACTGTTTGTCTTTTTGTGATGAAAAATGTTCCTCATAAGTACAGTGCTTTATTGACAGAGCAGATAAAAGCAGTATTATAATGTATGTTTTGCTGTTAATCAAAGACAATGCGAGAAACACACGAATTCGAGAAACATTCACACGAATTCGCTGTCATTTTAATTGTTCCAAATTCTACATTCTCTTCATTAATTATATTATCGTATTGTCAACATTATAAGAGAGAGCCCCCCCCCCCAGTATTATAAATCAAACGTTGGGGGGTTTCCTCTGATGATCTAATACGTCTGTATGTGTGTGTGTGTGACAAGAGTTGTATAACATTAGTGACACTTCACACGTTTGTGGTGCATTTTTCACTGTTGTGCTTCTGTGACAACTTAATTTCCCTTTTTCGTGAAATGCTACGAACGGCACAGGTGTGCCTGTGCAAAGTACACATAACGGTGGTGTCCTGGACCCAACTTCTTGTCAGTTCCACTCCGAGCGATGGCTCATTTGGCCTTCCGAGCACAGGTTGTTTTATTTGCAATTTCAGAACTCAATATTTAGCAGTGGTTGTACTTGGGGCAACCAAAGGTTCGGGTTATGCATGCACGTTTCCTCTAGCTTTGGTGCAACTAAAATAGATACTGTACTCTCCGTTCCCTTTGGCCCCGCAAACCGCAGGCTAATTGCCGAGAAATGGAAAAGAAAAATATTTTGGGTTGAGGTTACTGACCACGGTAATGCACGCACATGTCTCGTGTGTGCAGGCGTGCGTGCGCGCACACACAGATGCACGGAATGCACTCTGTAAGAAAGTGCAATATTGGAGTAATTTTACAAGTTGCTTTGCTTGTTTGATGTATGTTCTTTGACTGCTTAGGTGTGGTCAAAAACCAGCAGCACCAAAATATCCATCAAACGAGAATAAGATGTATTCAGATGATATGGTCTGGGAGCTGTTGAAAGGGCTTACCTGCATCAAGTTAAATGTTGGCTTTCTGCGGTGAATCTGTAAGACAGCAATAAACAACCATGCAAAAGTCCTTTACAAACCGAAGGTTGGCCAGATCGAAGCCAAATTATGCCGCTTAAAGTTATTTTAGTTTCTGCAAATGCCCAGCGCATTAAAGCATTGTAGCACGTACGATATACAGTAAATGATCTGATGCATGAGTATAGCACTATGCACAATGTGCCATACGCACAGACGCATCACTGGTCACAATCATTATCTGAAACAATGTGGTATATTGTTTGTCAAGAGAGGTGAACGCTGGTCCACTGTCGTGAGAGAAAGAAAATGCTTTGAACTTGGCTTGTCTGATATATACTGCACTATGCATGATGCAAGTGGCTCACAACAGTGGTCAGGAGCTTGTTGGTTGCCTCGAATACGATGGAGAACTTTTAAATACAACTCAACTTTCTTCGTGAGAAAGCTTGATCCGATGATCTTAAACTCTTGCACAGCCACTTCCGGTTCGAGAGGCCTCAATTTATAACGTAACCTGAGCCAATCAGAAAGAAGTAAGGTCAGCAGGAAACTGATGCAATCTCCAGAATTTGCTAAATCTCCATAACTTGCACTCACGTTTAAAGTCCCCCAGAAAACGAACAAAACTAAATTATGATTAAACAAAGGGGGTTATGGATTGTTTGGCGAAAGATTATGGATGATTATTTGGGGAAATAACCCATAGTAAAACTTTTGTTGTTCTCATTTGAATCACAATTTCTTATTGTTTAAAACTTGAAACTTAAAGGCAACAATCATTTTGTGAACTGTTTTAAATAGCTAAATTAAACATAATTATGTGAAGGAATAGACATAGCAATTGGTCTGATAACACCGTATGTGTGGGTTTATTTTTGCCAACAGATGCCGATGAGTGCACACTCTTTAGCCAAGAGTTGTGCAGAGACAGCCTCTGTGTGAACACTCAGGCTGGATACAAGTGCTACTGCCGCACCGGGTACTTGTACGATAGGAGCAGGCTGCACTGCACGGGTGAGTAACATCACCAGCCGATGTCGTGCAACTATGCTTTTATTTCTCATTATACACTGCCCCCCCCTCCGTGTTTTCAAGGTCTCCTCACAATGAAATTGTCGGCTTTCATGTTTTATACACTGGGAATTGAAAGATGGTTTGTGGTCTGAGCAGTCATGATTGCACACATACCTATCCTAAATAGAACCCCGATCAGAGCGGTGTTGAATGCCGGAGACAATTGCCAAACGTAATTCAACGTGTGCTTTTATGGGTAAATGGCATTTTAGTATTTAATGTACACACAGATATGTAGCACAGTGAGTAGTGCATTGCGCTATGAATCCACTGACCTTAGTTTGATCCCTCTCCCATCTAAAATCAGTGGCGAGGGATATCTGCCCCTGCTCCTTCAACAACCTGCATCGACCAGCATGGTGAAATATGACGGGCACAACATGGGAAGGCCTTGATCCAACCGTGGATTGACAAAGGCCTGCAAATAACCTATGAGCCCAGTTAAGATTGACAAAGGCCCGTGAATTAATTACTTAATATTGATGAAGAGCTGTAATTGTTATTATGATCAATATGCGTACTCTATACAGTATACTCTACATTGTAAACAGAGACATGCGCCCTTGGCCCTCTGGAAAAGTCATACACTAAAAAAGGAAGCTTAAGAAAATTAGAAAAATGCCCAAAGGTTATTTAAGAAGCGTTGCAATTATAGAAGGGTTAACAAGATCACGTTGGTGGTCATGGAAATGTTCTACTTCAGTACCCCCTTGGTGTGTGTCCATATTTCCAACTCGGTTCTGGCCCATCTGGTGTGTACTTACCCCCCCCAGACTTTTCCCTGGCTGTTGAGTGCGCTGTTAATTTGGAAAAAGATATTCACCTAAATGTTAGGGCGTGTGGAATTTAACCCAAAAGTGGCCCAGCCACTGTGATTTATTCAATGACGGCTGTGTTCATCTGTGGCTGCCATTGGCCATGATATGCGATACTGACTATTGTATTTGTGAATATGCGTGCCTAACAAAAAAATTCGATTGTAGAATGCAAGGAATTGTAAGCACAGTTAAGGGCCAATTAAAGACAAATTAAGGCCATGTGGATGAAAGCTTTCTCATATCTGTGAATATTGCTGTATAGTCATAAAACATCCTGTGGGTTTTTTGCATGAAAATGTTCAACATTTTAAATCATTATCAGCCATGCGAAAGAAGTTCAACATCTATGCTCAATCCACTGCAGGATGGCTTTTCCAAGCCTCTGCCACATTTCACGATCCTGCGTTATAATAATCCACCTCGTATCGGATTTCATTACTCCTTCTCCTTGGTTGACGTCCTCTCTGGCACGTTCGAATACCCTGGCTGCCGCTCCATTATTGTACTTGACCATCGGCCACGATCCCATGCAGCGAAGTGTCTGCCAGTGGTCAGGAAAACATTAAAATGTGGTTGCTTTAATTTTTGTGTTGATTTGGCTTTTCAGTAATTCGAGATTAATTTTAGTTTTCCCCTTACACGATACAATCATTCAAGCATGGTAAGTAGGAGTGTGCATGCGAGTGTTTTGTAATTAGTTTACACAACCAATGCAGTCACTCGAGATGCTGCATTGCACCATTATGTAAACAAGAAAAGGAATTGACTTTTTTATCGGATTTATGAAAATCATTGAAATGACTAAGGGAATGTGAAATCGCTATGGACCAATTACAAGGTGCAGCCCTGTAATTGCCTGCTTACACGATTGCTGCCAGAAAGGCCTCCAATATGGGGAGCTCTGAGGAGCCCCGCTGGAGAGTATCAAGAGCAGTGAATTATCACAGGCCCAGTGGTACGCTTTCCTTTGTGTGTAGATTATGTAAAAAAAATAGATAACGTGGACAAAAATGCAGATAAAAATTCACTATCAGTCATATTGTAGACACAAAAACACGAAACATATTGGTAATCTTCAATATTATCCTTCAGGGTGGAGCGGTGGCACAGTGGTTAGCACACTGCGATGTGAACCCGGTGACAAGAGTTCAATTTCTGGCCACGACTAACATGAGTGGCGAGTGATATCTGAACTGGAAGTCCCCCCCTCCCACCACTTCACCAATGTGAACTGACCAGTTTGGTGAAGTTTGGTCAAACAACCCCATGTGGATTGACAAAGGGCTGTACGTTATAATTTGTTAATTATTGACCGGCACCCATGAGAGAATGATTTAATGCAAGGTCTCTTGGACAAAGTGTTTATATATGAGATATGAGGACATTTGCGTGGTGATCCACGTCATATGCCACTTGCATTCGTCATCGGCAATTTTCACAGAACAGCTGTCAACACCCAAACTGCAATCGAAGGGACACGTGTGGCAACCTCGAGGTAGAATCCCAGTGTTAACAGTAGATTCACGTTTATAATCTTGTGGATATGTGTGGGTGTACACTGTGAACCCGGTGACCAGAGTTTGATTCCCGTTCATGGCCAGCACCAGTGACGATTATCTGAACCGGTCAAGAGCCTGCCCTAGGTTTGCGCAGCCTGAAATTAATACCTAGTGCAGTGTGTAAACATCGCCACTGGGGAGACAAAGGCGGTCGGGCGTGGTGCTGGCCCCCCACACCCTCGTGTGCTGTGCCGGCCTTCATAGGTGCTCGCTAACAGCACTTGCCCCAACAGTCTGTTGAGGCTGTACGGGGGATCTTTGTCTTTGGTTGACACCTAAGGAGTGCATCTGGGTCTGTCCCGTGACCTGCCAGAATGCCTTCGAACCTTGACGTGGCCTCAAATTATTACAATAATTAATTATAAATGAACAAGCGCTGCATTGACGTCACCGCCACTTAGTGACGCACAGCAGCAGCTGTTGTTGTTGTTGGTTGACAGCTTTACTTCTCTGAGTTCCCCACTTCATGTGTCAAAAAAAGTCATTGTGGATGTGTTCAACACAGGCCGACAAGGATTAACCATCTGACCAATCTATTTCTGGATCGTCGGCTGCAGGATTTAAAGATTACTTTGGGAGGGCACCGCATTTGATTTGCCACTGATTGTTATTCACCACCCGCCTTGGCGAGAGGTGCTCCATTATGAAGTCGATAGCCATACGCATCTTGTTTGTCAGACGTTGAACAGGGGAGTGCTCACTTGCGGTAATTGGTCCCAAGGAAGTGTGCCTGCACGCCTGTTTTATTTCACTGGTCAGTTGGCATACACAGCTCAATAAACGTCCTCTCATGAAGAAGCCCCTCTACCTTGTTGGAAAGAAAGTGACGTGGCTCTGAGGCTTATTTATACTCACACACGCGCATCGTCTCGTTTATTTCGATGAAGGTGCTCTGTGTTTAAACTATCAAATTCAATGCAATCTTTCTTTACTGGCGTGAGGTATGTGTTTTTTTTAATCGCATTTCACATTATACAATATAAATATTCGTGATAATAATGCATTCTAGAGAGCTTAACAATAACATTCAGGCTTTCATCTAAGCATCATACATTTGCTTATCTCATGAAGATGTTATAATGGGCCACCCTGTCCTTGATCTCCTGTAAGCACTTAATTATTTTAGCAGAAGTTACCATCAAAGGCTGGCTTAGAATGCCGCTTTATAAGATCCAGGAGGAGATCGTGATCGTGTAACAGATTGGAGAAACATGCAGCATTGCGTTGGCAAAGTCTATCGCAGTTTAAGACCAACAGCATCACATTCTCCCTGAGGCTCAATTGAGGTCATGCGTTCCCATTACACAGCGGGGAGCGGTGGTGCAGTGGTGAGTACATTCCACTGTGAAACCGGTGACCTGAGTTCAATTCATGGTCCTTGCCCTACCCCAATTGGTAATGATCTGCACGGTGAAATATGTCAAATAAACTAACTATTTATTATTTGACCAGGTTAGGCCAACTGAACTTTATAAAAAAAAATCAAAAGCGACCTGGCCGCACATGATAGCTCGACGAAGTGGCTCGTCACGTGGAAGGGAGAAACCGGAGGACCCCGAGAAAAATCCACACGACTACGGGGAGAACATGCAGACTCCAAACATACAGCAGGCGTCAGGGTCAGAATGGAATGCACGACCTCCTGCATACCAAGCGAGGTAGTTAAAATCTCGCCACCGTGGCAGCCAAATGCTCCCATGACCCCCACAAAGTGAGGAGGCCTTAATCCAATGAGTGAATTGACTGTTGCTGAAAACTAATTTAACTAATTTTAGTAATTTGTATAAGGTCCGATAGGTGCTAGGTATAGTCTCTACCAGATGTTGATAGAGAGTGAGTATTTAGTGGCACTGTTTACCTAAATGTTTAATGTTGGGAGGCCGTGTTCCAGTAGTGGCTTGACAAAGGACTATTAATTAATTATTATTCAATTTAAGAAACATAAGAATAGGCACTTCAAAATTTACCACCCCCGCCAGGAGTGATTCATCCTCTTTCCAGACTTGAATCAAGTTTTCATGGATTTTCGTCTCGTTTTGGCTTTCTCATTTATATTTTTTTTCTTGTATCCATATATGTTGAACTTCTTTCATACTGTACGTAGACAACCTTCCTAACGGAGGTGCGGTGGAAGGACAACAAACAAATCACAAAAAGCAGTTCTTACGTATATTCTCATAAATTATTTCTCATTTGTACCGCTGCAAACAAATTCAGTCTGGATTCATGTAGATGAATATTTATTATGCATTAGAAATCTGTCACTGAATACTCAGCCTGTACCAATCTTTATGCTTAGAAGAGCTGTGATTTGTAGCTATATTAACCTTGTGATCCAAAAATGATCATATATATGAAAAAAACAATATTAATTTGAGTGTATCAGTCAAAAGCAGCAACTCCCCCTCCTCCCCAAAAGCAGCCATATAAATAATACCATAAATGTGTCGCAAAAAATAATAGAAAGAAAAACATCTATGAATGATATTGGTCGCGAAAGCCTACGTGTTAAACGAGATAACACCAGTCTACCGCAGTGGAGATGATGCACGAGGGGGGCACAAATGTTGTGAACACACTGGCGGTTTTTAACGAGAGCCCATCGCCATCTGTGCTTCAGACGTGGACGAGTGTGAGAACAGCCAGAGCTGTGTGGACGGGCAGTGCTACAACAGCGAGGGCAGCTACAGCTGCTACTGCACCGCACCGCTCACGCTCGACCACACTGGCCGGCGCTGCGTCAACCGCACGGCTTCCTCCTCGGGTGACGATCCTGCTCCCGCAGAGGAGTCTCCTTTCTTCTTCGTCAAGTTCAATGTTGCCATCGCAGTCGTCGTCGTCACCATCATCGGCATTAGCAGCGTCATCATTAGCAGGAGTAGCATCATAATTAGCAGCTCTTCCAGTAGCATCATCATCAATAGCATCGTCATTATCATCAGCAGCAGCAGCAACAACAGTAGTAGTAACAGCATCTGCATTGATATAATAGTCTTCACCAACATCAATGTTGTCATTATCATAATTGTCTCATCATTATCATGACCATTGTCATCAACAACATCAGCATCAACAGCAGCAACATTTGCATATTTCTTAAATGATCATTGCCCTTCTCCGGATTACATTCAAACTTGCTAAATGCAAGCAAGCAAATGAGATTCACCGCTTTTTGGTGTGTTTTATATCCGCTCTCATGTCGATGTCCCATTCGCCCGTCAACTCGTTGCTGCTCCGATGATATCTCTCCGTGCAGATGTCTTTTTGGACATCTGCTGGAAGGAGGTGTCCCAGGGAGTGATGTGCAGCAAGCCCGTCGCGGGCCGACAGACCACCTACACTGAGTGCTGCTGCCTGTACGGCGAGGCCTGGGGGCCCGAATGCGCCTTCTGCCCACCCAAAACATCCGGTGAGCCTCACAACTCTTCACTCGTTCCACACCAGCTCGGAGTGTGTTGCTTCCGTAATTTTTCGCACTCATTACACACAGAGTTCTTACAACAAACGAACCACCAATCCCTTGCTGTTCGCACTCATTACACACAGAGTTCTTACAACAAACGAACCACCAATCCCTTGCTGTTCGCACTCATTACACACAGAATTCTTACAACAAACGAACCACCAATTCCTTGCTGTTCGCACTCATTACACACAGAGTTCTTACAACAAACGAACCACCAATTCCTTGCTGATCTCATCGAGCAGCATAAACCATCACGAAAACCTCTGGTCATCGAGCGCTCTGTATATATGTTGAATCTTGACTTAAAGCTTTCGTGACTGCAGGAATTCATATTCTTTGGGTCTTTCGGTAAAGTCACATAGATAGAAGAAACAATAATAACAATAAAATAATAAAAAGAAAGTGAATAAAAAATAATATTAAAAATATATTATTTTTTATTCATTTTATTTGTATTTTTATTCTATTGTTATTATTTTTTCTATCTACATGACTTTACCGAAAGACACAAAGAATATGTATGTTGAACTTCTTTCGCACCGTACGTAGCCGACCATGCTAATCAGAGGTGAGGAGGGAGGACAACAAACTAAACACTAAAAGCCGTTCTAAAGATATTAGTTTTCAATCGAGATTTAAAAATACATAGCTCCAGTGGCTTTCTAATATCGGAAGGAAGAGCGTTACAGACGTCCGCAGAAGCTCATCTGAATCCGCACGATGCAGTGACCGTCTTTGTCCGATGGCAGCAGCCAAAAGCCGCCGCCGCCGCCGCTGCTGCTGCGAGGATGACCGGAGTTCGCGTGATGGTACATTGCTTCTGTTCGGTCAGAGTAGATAGCTTCCATTAATTTTTGTAATCATTACACACAAAGTACTTGCAACAAATGAAACAAATTATCTCTCTGATCTCGTCTAGGAGCATAAACCATCACGCAAACCATTTTGAGGTGGAAATGCATAACGGCAATTTTATTTATTTATTTACATTCACAAGTGGTTTAGCTGAGCATGGGAGTTTCCTCTTGATAGCAAGAAGCCTGCATAGCAGTCTACTTTGCAAGAATAGCTGGCCCTAAGTTCACTTTGGAAGAACAAATGAAAGCAGGTTGGGCTTTAACCCATGATGTTTGACTATGCTCACCCTCCTTTGTGTGTGTGGTTATAGGCAGCATTAGGTTTCAGTCTCATTAATTCTGAATGGTGAATCAACACTGCGCAACGAAGCGTTTGACCTTCAATCGATCTTGCTGAGTAGACAATCACAGCAGACGGGTTTAACAAATGTCTGCACTTCATTACAGACAGAATATATAAGTGTTCTCTATGTGAGTAAGAAAATAAAGACATTCTATTGGCCTGGCCTGAAAGCCACTAAACATCGAGGTGTCCCTTTAATAAACATTGTTACTATGCCGGTGGCTTTCAACATTTGCTTATCGTTTAGATATCACAAAAAAACATCCATATTGTTCGCGTATATATCATAACAATACTAATTTACAACCTTTTTAATATAATCCACTGCTAGCTGCAGATTTGCGCACACTGTGTCAGTTATGGGATTTTTTAAATTTCTCAAACGCTACCACTGTCCAGTGTGTAGGATGCAGGCGGTGGGTAGGTGGCCTTGGATCAGTTCAGTGATCACTCGCTACGGACAACAGCTGTGCCGCGGCCACTACTTGAACGGTTAAATGTCAGATAAAAAAAGTAGTTTTCATCTCAATTGAACATGGGGTGTTGGTTGTCCTCCCAGTTGTGTGCGCCAGTGGTATAGTTCCCACATTAATTTGGTGGCGGTGAGTCAATCTATTGAGCAACCTTTCTCAACTCCCAAAATTTGTTAAAAGAACTGTGAGAAATAAGGCATGCCTAATGCGTACACATTTGTAGAAAACAATATTGAAATCTTGCATTAAATGTGTCTCTATATGTGTATAATCATTGTATAAATATATACTGTACATTAAAATGGAATGCTGTACGGATTTTTAAGGATTCTACATTTCTAATTTAAGATGACATACTGAACAACGGAGAAAGGGCAAAACTTGGGATGAGAATTTTGCACTTGGATGAATGACCCAGTGGTGGGAAGGGAATGACAGAAACAACGCTCAATAAACATAGGGTAAGGTTCAAGATTGAGAGCATGGTCAGTCACAGACCGAGAAGAAGGGGAATGTCTTCATCCTCTTCTTGTCAGAGACAAATTTGGGAAAACTGAACCACTGGAGAATGAAAAAAAATCTCAATCGATTTTCCATTTTTTAAGAGCTGCGCACAAACGTGAAGTGCCCCGTCAAAGCAAATAATAAAGCCTGCTTCAATTGTGTGATGTTTAAAATTTGAGTCTAAACATTTGCAAGCCCCTCTCTGCATCTGGCCTGCTCAATAGTAAGTCATGGTGATTTATGGCGTGTACTTTGCGAAAGTGTTTTTTAAGTGATTCAAGAAAGCTCAATCCGACTCCTAGGAGATGTGTCCGTGCACGGCAGATGCACGGGAACTGTATGAGCATTTGTAAAGATGTTCTTGAATTTTATCAATGGGGGAAAAAAAAAATCAGCATTCAAGCTTGTCACTTGATTTTGTAACAACTATTGTTCGACATCAGGATACTCGTTGGATGCATTGTGTTTTAAAATGTTTAGTAGGAGTTCTATATTGTGTGGGTGGAGCGACAGAACAGTGCACTTTATAATTAATATGGTGACCTAGGTTTTATTCTTGCCTATGGCCAAATCAGTGGAAAGTGTTGTTTGAACAAAAAACTGACCCCCGCGCTGACCAGTGTGGTGAGGTATAGTGAAACAGCTCCCATGGCCGAATCGGTATTGGGGAGGCCTTCATCCAGCAGTGAATTGACAAAAAAGGTATAACATATTTAATTTCTTGATTTGCATGCTTAGTTATGATTTAATATTGGAAACAATCGTGTTATAATGAAGAAAATGTATAATAATTCATGATGTATTGTATTCCAACATCTCTAACAATTACATAATTGATTTTATCATTGGTTGAACTTGTAGTCATCGAATGTTGAAATAAAGTGGTGCCCAAAGCCGTATATTTCCACAATAATTGATTACCATATATCGACTTACAAAAATAAAATCGACCCATCACAGGATTCCCACACACCGAGCACAATAAGCAATTGTGTTGAGTTCGGGCGATGTCTAAGAAAAAGACGTGGCTTCGGGAATGTTAAGTAAATAATAAAATGGAAAAGAAAACACGGTGATTTGGGTGTTTGCGTTGCTGAGTGGCCAGTCAGGACCTGTCCTATCAAAACTTGGAGGGGTGTAGATATGAAAGTGAGACTGTGTGACCTTTGTGTGTGCACCATGTGCAAAAAAAAAGGCAAGCCAAGTCTTCACTCCCAACAAAGCTCCATGGTCCTGCCTCTTGTAACTGCACGTAATTACGCGCGCACGCAAAAAGAGAGAGCTTTGTGCGAAAAGCTGGAAACGGTTATTTTTTTTTCATCTTTTAGCCGGTTTCATTTGTTCTAGCTTTCTTGTAGGTTGTCTGCCATCACAGTGTTTTTTAATTGTAGGATATTTTGCACCCTGTGAAAAAACTAAGATTAGCACTTGACTATGGGAGAGAGGTGGGCCACCGTGGGCTCTGACGTGACTTCAGAAAATTGAACACGGCGGTTGTTTGCGAGTCCCTCCCACGTGCCTATGCCGAGCGGGCGGTGTGGTGGATTGTTTTGACTATCCGTGTAGAATTAGTTTAAATATCCTCCAAAGCGATGGAGCCCTGAAACAACTAAGACTTCGAAGAAATTCACCATTTTGCCATGTATTCTCTACCATATATACTATACTCTAGGCCATGTATACTATACTACATCACACGCTTTCAGATGCACTTCTGCGGCCGTCTGGAATGTTCTTCCTTTCGATATTAGAAAGCCACTGCAGCTGTGCACTTTTAAATCTAGATTGAAAACTCCTTTCATTCTAACTGCTTTTTGTGTTTTGTTTGTTGTCCTTCACCGCACCCCTGATTAGTATGGTTGGCTACGTACGATGCGAAAGAAGTTTAACATATTCTTAGTTTTTTCGGTAAAGTCACGTTGAAGGGAAACAACAAAATAATAAAATATATATAAAACAATAAAAAATTCTCACGACGTTTCGACCATAACTCAAACACCTGAAGACGACCGTTTGAGTTATGGTCGAAACGTCGTGAGAATTTTTTTTATTGTTTTATATATATTTTATTATTTTGTTGTTTCCCTTCAACGTGACTTTACCGAAAAAACTAAGAATATGAATTACTGCAGTCACGAAAGCTTTAAATCAAAATTTAAGTTTAACATACATACGATGCTCTAATGTGAATACTGTCACCGTGTAATGTTTAGCTCACGTGACTTGAAATTCAGAGGTAAATGGTTCAATTCAAGCTCCTGGCATGGCAGTTGAAACAATGGGTGCATTTTTTAAGTCCACCCTCCTCTGTCTACCCAAAAGTATAAAGGAGTACATCACATTTCGTAAATCAACGGGTCGTATGTGGTGGGGTAAAGTGTGGCGAGCCACTCCCCAACCTTCCGACTTCCAAGATGTTTGGTGAGCGTGGAAGAGTCGGCCAAAACACTCTCTTCCACGCATCACATCAAGAGTGGCGTAAGCAATTGCGGGGCTGTGCCTTTACCTTTTAGGCACTATAGTTGGGGTCAGGCTCACGTGTTTGCTGAAACAGCCATTGGCACATGATTGCAAAAAATCAATGACAAGGGAACATTTTTTAAGAGATTAAGACCTAGACCTTAAAATCACAGTCATAAGAATAGACTGATATTTGATTTGCGAAGTCCGGTCTTACATCATGCGAGGTACAGTCTCGGATGTTACATGTGTCCGACATATGGGGTTTGTGGTATCTTTAAACAGCTTGTCACAAGATAATACGGTTTGTTGATTTTCATAAATCCTTTTAGGTGGGTGGGTATGCATGGAATATTTTTTATGTAGCATGGCTCAATAAAATATTTTAGCGCCACGACTCAACAGGTTGTTTCTATGGGGTTAATAAAGCAAGTGCCACTTCGTGGAAAGTCGACAGTCATTGACTTATTGACATACTGGCCCCACCATAATAATGTGTAATTTCCAGCATTGGCTAAGAGCCATAGACAGAGACAAGCATCGGCCAATTGTTTGTTTTGGTATAGCGACTCTCACACATGTTTTGACTGGTATCTCCACGCCGACCATCGAACTCGGCAAAGTGTTGGATTGCGCAGAGCCTGCTCAATTGCAGCTCTACACATCTGTGCAGTAAAGCGTTCACACATGTTTGCCATTCCTTGCCGCGTTGGGATGGCGCATGTCAAACCGGACGCGGCACTTGACGAGTATTTACCGGAATTCTTTTGCGCTGCGCGTTATCCGTTTTGCAAGGGGGTGAGGGGGGCGTTTGGAGGGGCTGGTAAAAGGTGTGGACAGTTGACTTCCAGTGAACTGACGGATCGTTTAAAAAACAGAGCCATTCATATGAAGACAAATGCTCCACGGGGCCACCAGAGTTGTTGCTCCGGCACTGAGTAAATGGAGTGCTGAAAAAAATGCATCATCTCCAGTGAGCTGCCGCATTATGTAAGCACTGAGCAAAGCGCCTCCTGCAGAACTAAATCTGTGGGTCATGTCCACTGACCTAAAGATGTATGTATACACACACAGTGCGTGTTTGTACAAATGTGTATTTTAGTAGGATGTCTTAGACGTTTTGTATTCCGATCAGCAGCACTGCAAGGATTATTGGCGTATTGCCATGCCTCCCCTCCTGTTTGCCCAACCCTTGACAATTACCCACAAATAGACATCATAAATTTGGAAACACAAATACATGTGTTCTGATTAGATTCCAAGTCAATCTGCTGGTAGGGAAGTGTACAATCTATTGCAGATGATAATGCAAAACGTTCAAAAGCTACTTTTCAAGATGTTATAAAGAATGCAATGTATTTGCACTGACAATACAAGTGTTCCATACTCAAGCGTTCATGAGCCAGTGCTGTTGTGGAAATTCCATATTCATGTGACAGGGACCAGTCTATCCATTTAAAACCCACTGTTAACTTATCACAAAGTTGTAATAATTGTATTTACCTTAACCCCTGGGAAATGAACCCACAACCTGATGGAGACTATCAGGTAGAGTGTTTGCGTGTTTTATAATTGTTAGGCAGCATTGTAACGTATTTTTTCCAGTGCTTAGTTCGAGTATTTTAGGGCAAACAGGGTCATGCAGTGGTGACAATTGTGCTTCACAGCAAGAAGGCCCTGGGTTCGATTCCTGTCTTGGGTGCCTTTCCGTGTGGAGTTTGTATATTCCCTCCCTGTTCAGCATGGGTTTCATCTAGGTTATCTGGTTTTCTCTCGTAGCTGAAAAAACAACCAATGTAACTAGCATTGGCCAAACATCCCAATGCCTAGAAATTACCAGCAAATTATTGAATTTAGATTACACTTAACAATTACAGAATATGGCAGCACCCTCCTGAAGTGTCAGAAACTCAATGAGGCCTTGCTGGGTTACAACAAATTCAATAATTATCATGATAAAAATAATTGATCTTCAGTAGACTCAAGAACTTCCTTTTTTCTGCCTATGTCTATTTCCATCATCCCAAATTGTGTGGTTCAGTGGAGACGTCATCTTATCCCCGCACCCTCTTCTACCTCACCAGCTGCTTCCCCTTAAACATAAAAATTTATACTTTTTCAACCATTGTGCACAGGTTATGGTTAAATTCCTTATCGTCAGATTGTATGGTATACCCTTTTGAGAGCGAGTGGCATTCTGCCCAAAGTTTTCAAGAAGATGGAATAAACGTTGAAAAGTACGATTCTGGCATTGACAGATGCATGCTGGAAATTACACATAAAGAGGAACTCATACTGACTCATAGTAGTGCTTGAGCATGACGCAGCGCTAGAACGGACGATGTTGGATGGATGAGGGACTGGTGATGGAATTGCAGCTGAAGGAGGGAATGTGCAACATGCCCAACAATACGACTACTCTGGAGATGGAGCAATCGAATCGGTGTGTGTGCTCCATTCTTTAGGGTGCCAGCTCCATTGTTAGTCTCAAGCACCGGCCTTCATCCAGCGATGTGCCCTGCTCAATCTCACCTTTCTTAACAGTCAAACAATTGGAGGAGCGTTGCGTACCGATTGCTCATGTTTATTTAGTGCCGGCTTTAGCACTGACAGCGAGAGGTCTGCAGATGTATTCATGTTCAGTGACTCATGACCATACACTGCTCTGATGATGCATCTGTCAATTTAATTGCCCTTGTTTATACACTTTACTTACATTGTCGAATATTTGTTATTGTTGTAGTTTTATTTTATTATTGTTTTAAAAAGAGATGGTCAGCCCATCTTCGAATGTCTTTTCTCAAATTCTGACAGTAATATATGCCAAGAGAAATAAATCCTTACGAGGAAATTTTGGATGCAGGGAAAACCAAGAGGGACCGTCTGAGAAAGGCAATACGACAGGATGTATTCAGAGGGGTCTGAAAAATCAACGCAAATACAGAGAACAGATTTTACTTGGAGTGGACATGTAGAACCTCATGTGTAACATTTTAAGCTGGCTCGCTGCAGTGGCCTGTATTTCACACACATGCAAACTACGCTTTGCCTCGGCACTTTTCCAAATGAACGTGAAGGGAATATTATCGCTCGAAGATCTGCTCGGACAGGTCAGAAACCTATTTTCCCTACGACCTCGCTTGGCAAACCTTGCGACTTGGCAATTTTACAGCAAATTCTGAATTATGCACAGGTCACCGACCCTGTCTCCAAAGTGTTCAATTACAGGTGTGCGCAACCATACCTGGCAAGACAATATATATGCTTCATATTTAATTTAGACTTTTCCTCAATTTTATTACATTGTTTTGCTTTCATATTCACGTCATGAGAGGCAGCATCCTTGAGGAACTCTAATAGAGCAATGTGTCGCCTCACCTGGTGTTCGAGAATAACCTCTGCAAGAAAGAGATATCACAAAAGTACCACTGCATTCCTTCAAATAGCAGTCAAACTGATACGTTTGTTTTTCTCAGAGCTGGAATTTAGCCAAACTAAGTGAAAAAGCAAATGTTATATGATGGGATTTTTTTTTATAGTTATTGGAAACCAGGCTAAGCCCTTCAACTCATACACTTGAAAACTTGGCTGGGTTAGCACCCGGGGGATTTCTCAGAGGAATTATTATTTACCAGGTGGTGCCTAAAAAAGCTACCACCAGGATTAGCGAAACGTCAGACATCGTGCGGATTAGCACGGTTGGCTATGTACGGTGCCAGGCCAGGTGCACTCTGAGGCTATGCAAAGTATTGAAGGCTTGCTGTGACAGGTCACGGGACAGATCCAAGGTGCCATGTGTTGACTAACCGAGATGGCTGACATATGCACCAGCTGTGCCCCCTACTGCGCAAATTCGCTGCATTTTCGCTGCCCGGCGCTCCGCTCGTTGTTGTGTGCCGTCACTCCTCTCATGCCAAATAACACGCGGTACAACCTGCAAACACGTTGGAGAGCTTTTCAACCGCGAAAACCTATAGCAATATATCCTGGAGTTCCGTCACCTTGGTCACAATAACGAAAAACGACTTTCATTCTCATGAATAATTCGGCCATCGCTCCAAGCAAGCGCGGCGTTGGATTCGCATTAACGTTTTTTTGCTCCCTCTGTGTCTCTCTCTCTCGCTCCCTCCCGTGACCTCCGCCCGCCGCTCCCCTCTCTCGCCCTTTGCTGCAGACGACTACCTCACGCTGTGCAACATCCGCATGCGCGCCGAGGCGCAGACCTTCGAGGAACCTCATTTCGGCGAGCAGTACCCGTTTGAGCCTCACCTCCTGCCGGCCGAGCGTGGAGACTTCCCGCCCCAGACTGGGGCGCAGGGGCACCTGCCCTTCCGCGGGCTCACAGAGATGCAGCCTTACCCCGGGCAGCAGGAGAACGCCGGCCATGACCTGATGCCCGGCATCCTGCCGCTCTACTCCACTGACGATTGTGAGTGCCGCTGTACATATATATATACCACCAAATATACACACATATAACATGTATATACATATATACACAGTATTCCCTCGTTACTTGCGAGGGATACATTCCGGAGATGCTCATGAATAGCAAATTTCGCCCATAATTATATTGGCCTATGGAAAACCTATCTTTTAAATTAATTACCTTAATTAAAAACGAAATTAAGGTATTAAATACATGAACATGATCTCATTATATCTCATCGCTTTATCTCATCACTTTATCTTTCATCACTTCATGTCATCACTGTACATCATCACTTTCTCACATCACATTCTCTCTCATCACTGACCTTCTCGCTCCTCTCTCAATGCAGTTGTGTAGAGTTCAAGATGCGATTCGTGGATAGCAAGTTCTTGAATAACGAGGGAATACTGTATTCAGAAATACTGGACATCTGTGAAAAAGAGCTGTATAGCTCATCGTATTCCTCAGTATCAATAAAGATTATGATTATGACATACATACAGGTCGTGAGTTCAACTGAGTCGCAGACGTACTCTTGGAGGCAACACATTTATTTAAATTTTGACTTAAAGCTTTCGTGACTGCAGGAATTCATACTAAAATAATGTATTATTAATAATATAATTAATAATACATTATTTTATTATTTTCCTTCTATCTACGTGACTTTACCGAAAGACCCAAAGAGTATACATTTATTTAACACCAACACACGGGGTAACTGCCCCTTAACAGAATAACAACCTATGGTGGTTGACCACCAGGCTAACTGCACTAATGACAACGTATCTAGTGTAGTTAGCCTGGTGGTCACCACCAGGCTAATTGCACCAATGACAATGGAACTAGCGACTACGGACCGGGACCACAGCTCAGGTCCAGGTCCACGTGTTGGAGACTCGTTGAGCGGAGAATGGAGAACGTAGAGCATAGACGAAGGTTTCTTCAGGATGAACAACAATGCCAGTCCCTCTGGAGACCCAACTTAGATCCTCTGCGGCGTGGCTGGCTCCGCCGGTTGGCCACGACCACCTTCCAGAATCCTCGAGCAGGATCTGGACCCGGACCACGTGACCATCCCTAGCCCCCGCTTGTGGCCCTTTGTAGACTACATCGGTCACGTGTCCTCTCGGGTCAACCAGAGTGCCATGGCCATGAGTAACATCGTTCCTACGGTCGTGATTCTTATAAATCCTTACCTGAGTCGCGCTCCAATGGGTATTTGGGTTGTACCTTGTTTTGGTGAATTGAGTTCCTGAAGAAGCTCCCAGGAGCAAAACGTCGAGCATTGTGCCGAACAGAATCAGAATCTTTATTCCGACTGGAGAGATGCGATGAGCTCTGGTGCTCTTTTTCCACTGATGTCCGGTAGGGCGGGTCAGCAAGTTAACAACACCGCAGTGCAACCCGAAAACACATCGGAGAGCCGCACAACACAACCGTGAACACCTACGTGTACTTCCGTTTTAATCTCTCAAAAGGAGTTGTTTTATGAAGAGCACTGGCTTCCTCTTTGTCTTGACACATCCTCTTGTTTGGCCGGTGAACCCACAGACAATTACAACCGATACGAGGGTCTGCAGGCGGAGGAGTGTGGCATCGCCCACGGCTGTGAGAACGGGCGCTGCGTGCGTGTGCCTGAGGGATTCACGTGCGACTGCTATGAGGGTTACCGCCTCGACACCTTGAGCGTCGTTTGTGTCGGTGAGCACATCAATGCGTTCATCACCATGGGTGGGGGAGGGGAGGAATTGACGGAACCATGAACATTTAGATTGTATTGATATTTTATTGATATTTAACAGTGAACATTTATTGAGTGTTTTTTTAATGAATGTAGGACCTTATTTAATAAGCGTGAGGTTTCACAACAACCACTGCCCCCCCCCCCCCCCCCCTTGGATGTTTCAACATCATGCACCATTCTCACTTTCATCATCATTGTCATTGATTTTACATTGCCATCATTATTATCATCAAACAAAAGCCGCCATTGTTATCATCGAGATCAAACTGTCGAAAATGTTACCGTAGTTCTTATTGTTGTCATTGTTATTGTTAAACATCATCCTTGTTGTCATTGTCACATTCATTATCGTTAAACCAACATCATTGTCATTGTCTTTGTCATCGTTAAACTAAATGTTGCCATCATCAGCTTCATCAAACAGCATCCTCGTTGTCCATTATCATCATCACCATCATCACAAGACTAACGTGATCACCATCATCATCATTATCACAAGACTAACGTGATCACCATCATCATCACCATCATCATCATCACCATCATCTCCATCATCACAAGACTAACGTGATCACCATCATCATCATCACCTTCATCACCATTATCACAAGACTAACGTGATCACCATCATCACCATCATCACCATTATCACAATACTAACGTGATCACCATCATCATCATTATCACAAGACTAACGTGATCACCATCATCATCATCACAAGACTAACGTGATCACCATCATCATTATCATCATCATCACCATCATCACCATTATCACAAGACTAATGTGATCACCATCATCACCATTATCACAAGACTAACGTGATCACCATCATCATCATCATCATCACAAGACTAACGTGATCACCATCATCATCATCATCACAAGACTAACGTGATCACCATCATCATCACAAGACTAACGTGATCACGATCATCATCACCATCATCATCATCACCATCATCTCCATCATCACAAGACTAACGTGATCACCATCATCATCATTATCACAAGACTAACGTGATCACCATCATCATCATCACCATCATTATCATTATCACCATTATCACAAGACTAACGTGATCACCATCATCATCATCACCATTTTCACAAGACTAACGTGATCACCATCATCATCATCACCGTCATCACCATTATCACAAGACTAATGTGATCACCATCATCATCATCACCATCATCACCATTATCACAAGACTAACGTGATCACCATCATCATTATCACAAGACTAACTTGATCACCATCATCATCATTATCATAATCACCATCATCACCATTATCACAAGACTAACGTGATCACCATCATCATCACAAGACTAACGTGATCACCATCATCATTATCATCATCATCACCATCATCACCATTATCACAAGACTAACGTGATCACCATCATCATCATCACCATCATCACAAGACTAACGTGATCACCATCATCATCATCACCATCATCACAAGACTAATGTGATCACCATCCTCATCATCACAAGACTAACGTGATCACCATCATCATCACAAGACTAACGTGATCACCATTATCATCATCACAAGACTAACGTGATCACCATCATTATTATCATCATCACCATCATCACCATTATCACAAGACTAACGTGATCACCATCATCATCATCACCATCATCACAAGACTAACGTGATCACCATCATCATCATCATCACCATTATCACAAGACTAACGTGATCACCATCATCATCATTATCATCATTATCACCATTATCACAAGACTAACGTGATCACCATCATCACCATTATCACAAGACTAACGTGATCACCATCATCATCATCACAAGACTAACGTGATCACCATCATCATCGGTGTCCTTGCATGTGTGTTAAAAAAGACCTGAAACTAGCACAGCAGATCTTTTAAAATATATTTGACCAATTACGAGTGCTTTTCAAATCACTCTTCACAAGGATTGCAACATTTTTTGGACAGCAACATTTTTTAGGACAGCGACAACGGATCTAGATGGCACGCCAGCAGGGATTGAGCGTCATTTTAGCTGAGCGATATCTTTTGACTTTGATGTGCCATTCACTTCCCGCTCTCTCGCGATCAACTTGCTCCTCCTGTGACCTTCAGACGTCGACGAATGCGAGGAGCAGGATCCTCGAGCGCAGCTCTGCAGCAACGGTCACTGCGTGAACACCGACGGCTCGTACCGCTGCGTGTGCCGTCCGGGATACGCCGCCCTGCCCCAGCAACCCCACGCGTGCGTGCCCGTACTGCGGCACCCGCTCCCGTTCCAGTAGGCCGCTCGTCGTCTCCTCTTCTGGCCACCTAGCCCCGACGCGAGCTCGCCTGCTTGCCAGACAGCTTAGATCAATGTTGCAAGCTGGCCAGCCAGTGAGCCCGTGAGCTAGCCAGCTACGCAGTTGGCACCCCACGCTAGGCAGACTGATAGCCAGACGTCCTGTCTGTAAGTAATTCGGCGGTCTCGTCAGGAGACCTGCAGGTAAGCCAGGCTGCGAGCCAACCTGCCAACCGGCCACACGCAAAGCAGTGTTTTATGTTCAGATTCATTGGGGAGGGTAGGGGGGGAGGCAGGGGGAGGGCTTGGTTTGAGGATGCTGGTCGTGGGGTTTATTGGGCAAGGGAACTTGTGGCAGTATCAACGCAGTCAGTGTTCTACATTTATTGTATATAATTATTAAAATGTGCATCTCTATAGTTACAAATTCCAACAGTTTATATTTGAGCTCGGGAAAAGGGGCAGTGCTTAAAATGTACTTGGCCGAAATGCTGTTGATGCGTACTAATGGCCGAGATGCTAATAGCAAGCGAGTCTCTTTTGGGATTTAATTTAGTTCATTTCGCGTTTTACAGTTCATCAGGAAGTTGTGCTTCATGGCATAATTGAAATGCGAGTAACGTTAAGTTGCGAATTAACAGCGCTCGCCGATAATGCAGAAAACGCGTTATGGACTACGCTACCGATTATGGTGTAAACTCGCTGCAGACCCACAGGCAGGCACTGGTAAAGTTATGATATAGTCAGCAATGAAGACCCAAAGTCATCTGTCTTCGTACAACTGGTATTACAAACAGTAAAACAACAACAGCAAGATACCTGAATGTTCCTGTGAACATACCATTAAATGTTTTTTGTCAGCAGGAGTTGGTGAGGACTTTTAATATTATTGACATGAAGCACAGAAACAAGCAATTACGAACAGTGATTAAGTAACTTGGGGATTATATCACATACAGCCGCTTTACACGTTAAGAACATGTTAAAGGCATAGGTCGATGAATCTTTATTGTGATCTGTTCGTGACATGTCAAAACAAGATCAAAACACATTGACTATATAATGCCAAAAAATTAAGTTTTTACTAAATAAATATCAGAGCTATTTTGTTTGTATAGAAGCTTTATAATGAGACACTGTAAATATATTCTAAATATCACAGGGACATCATCAGGGTTTATTGCATAATGATGGAAATTTAAATATTTTCATGAATACTGATTTAATGTTTGGTCAGCAAATAATTTGGTTCCATTGGAGTATATTATTTTGCCCCATCTTAAATAACAATGATAATGTTATTGTTATATAAAAAAAAGGATATATCATTCAAATAGACTTGATGTATTTTGAGTTTAAGTAGCTTAGGGCCATTGAATATTGAATTTCATCTCAAAATTCAACACGTCAAATTATTTTCTCAAAACAATGGATAAAGCATTTTTTTTTAAATACTCGCAAATTAACCCTTTCCCATTTCGATACGTCTACAAGTTGCAGGGTGGGTCCCATTAGCATTAATTTTACTGAGAAAGGCATAGCTGTTTTAAAAAAAAAAAACATTGTACTCACTACAGAGAACTGTAGCGACACAACCACACTCTATGAAAGCTGGCGCCAAACTGTGCCACACGACCTCCCTCATGGCCTTTTACTTCCAATTCCGTACACGTACAATGACGTCATCGGAATGTAATTGGAAGAAAAAATGATGACATGACGTGTACATCATCCGAATGGGAAAGGATTACGAACCTATCTTTGATTTCCGTGCATGATCTTCCTCTTTAGTTCCCTCCCATCGTCGTTTCGAGATGATGGGGCCGAATAAGATACCACCACCTGCTCCTGTCTCCCACCGGCTTCACGGCTTCCTTGTCACCCGCTTTGTCAGAGATAATTTCCCACCGAGTCAATTCAGTGCATTTTATTTTCTGCCATTCATTATTTTGTATTACCTTGATGATCTCGTCTTGGAGTATAGACCATCACGAAAACGTCGGTCATCCTGCACCTCCGATAAGCATGCTTGGTTACATTCGGTGCAAAAAAAGTTCAACATACATACATCCTCGCAGCAGCGGCTTTTGGCTAACCATCGAACAAATACAGTCACTGCATCGCGCGCTTTCAGATGCGCTTCTGCGGCCGTCTGGAACGCTCTTCCTTTCATCATGAGGAAGACATTTTTAAATCTGTTTTTAAAACTAAATTCTTGAGAACAGCTTTTTGTGTTTAGTTTGTTGTCCTTCCCAATCATCTCCGATTAGCACGGTTGGTTACGTATGGTTCAAAATAAGTTACTTTACCGAAAGAACCAAAGAGTATGGATCCCTGCAGTAACGAAAACTTCAAATCTAGATTGATACATACGTATACTTGTGCATCTAATTCCATGTATGGCATTCTATACGCATCTATTGTAGACCATGTGGCCAAATCACCCGAGTCGTTCTCCCTTGGATCTTCTCTATCCGTGCAAACCCCTGTCCTGTCCCATTCCTTCTCGTATTGCTCTGTCTCATTATCTGTCGTCTAGACACTCTCAACGTCCTTCTCCGTTCGCAGCGTATTCCCACAGTTGTTTTGTGTTCATCAGATGTTCTGGTTCTCTAGCGTTTAGAGACGTACGTGAATGTCGGCATGCAACTATGGTTTCACACACTTAGATTTTTGCTTGTAAGCATAATTTGTACTAAACCAGTTATTTTCTTGGTATTGACATATTGAATATTTGTTAATAAAGGGATGAACATGCATACGATGATCTTCAATTAAACTTAAACGCTAGTTTTACAGCAGTATAGAGGATGAGAATATGATTGCAAAATGAGATTGTTTCCTAAGTTGAAATTACAATTGAACATTTACACACGAGAGCAACATTTATCGCAGTCTTGTGAGGATATCAACATACCTTTTCAAACAATGTTAATTTCTTTGTTGTATTAAGTTATGACTTAAACAACATTGTTTGCAGTGTTTCTGAAATGTATTACTGCTGCACGATGCTACAAAATCCGTAGATTTGCAGGTGATGCCACCAAACACGTAAAAAAGGCGCAGCCCTGCAATTGCTGCTCACACCACTGCTGGTGGAAGGGCCTCCCCTAGACGGAGACCGAGAGTGCCCCTCTCTGGATGGTCTTCTTCTTCTTCCTCCTCCTCCTCTTCTTCTTCTTCTGCGCTTGCCAGACGTCTTGGAAGTTTTGGGAGTCATCCGCGCTTTGCCTCACCGCACGTGACCTACCAGTAGACCGGCCGTGGTCTAACCCAGTTATACTGCCTGGTGGGGCAGAAGCGACGGGGATTTTAATAAACTAGCATCATTGTTTCAGCTGCCACCCCGGGAGAATTAATCGAATCGGCGACTTCTGGATTGCAAGTCCACTTCGTGAACCATTGCCACTGCCATGGTAGCCTTGCCTGCCAAATTCACGACAGGATCCCCTCGACATCTGCGAGGGGATACATTCTGGAGATGCTCGTGAATTGTAAGTTTCGCGGATAATGATATTGGCCTATGAAAACCTATCTTTTTAATGAATTGCATTTAAAACATAAATAAGCTATTACATACATAACAATTATAATACAACGAAAAATAGTAATTGGTTATGATAAACAAAGTAAATAAAATAAATATTAACGTATTAAATGATAGTTCATAAATTAACTTACCGTAAATTATCTCATCACACTCATCACTCTATCTCATCACACTCTTCACACTATCTCATCACACTCATCACACTATCTCATCACACTCATCACTCTATCTCATCACACTCTTCACACTCATCACACTCATCACTCTATCTCATCACACTATCTCATCACACTCATCACTCTATCTCATCACACTCATCACACTCATCACTCTATCTCATCACACTCTTCACTGTATCTCATCACACTCATCACACTATCTCATCACACTCATCACACTATCTCATCACACTCATCACACTATCTCATCACACTCTTCACTCTATCTCATCACACTATCTCATCACACTCATCACACTATCTCATCACACTATCTCATCACACTCTTCACTCTATCTCATCACACTATCTCATCACACTCATCACTCTATCTCATCACACTCATCACACTATCTCATCACACTCTTCACACTATCTCATCACACTCATCACACTCATCACTCTATCTCATCACACTCATCACACTATCTCATCACACTCATCACTCTATCTCATCACACTCATCACACTATCTCATCACACTCATCACTCTATCTCATCACACTCTTCACACTCTGCACTGTATCTCATCACACTCTGCACTGTATCTCATCACACTCTTCACACTCATCACTGTATCTCATCACACTCATCACACTATCTCATCACACTCTTCACACTATCTCATCACACTCTTCACACTCATCACTGTATCTCATCACACTCTTCACACTCATCACACTCTTCGCACTCATCACTGTATTTAATCACGTTCTTTCTTTGCCTCTCGATGCAGTCGTGTAGAGTTCCAGATGCGATTGGCCGATAGCCAAAATCGTGGATAGCAAATTCGTGATTAACGAAGGGGATGCTGTACTTTGCAATAGAAGCCCGCTTGCAGTGTATGCATTTTCTGTTAATTCACGGCGCTGTGTTCTTCTTGTAAGCCTGACAGTCGTAAGTGGGTGGTGCATTCTGATGGCAATTTCTCTGGAGTGAAAACAATGTTCTGTTCACAAGTAAGGTGGTGTGTGCTATGGTGTCTGCAATTGTTTTATTTTAATATAGAGAATGTGTTGTAAAACAAGACAAAATAAGTCGAGGAAAGCTACTTTCCAGTGTATTGGTTTTGTAAGACGACATTTGAAATACAGCTATGGCAATAGAATGTACAATGCAAGTAAAATTACAATAAACACATTGAAAGGAAATGTAGCATGGCACATGGCATCCTTTAGTTATCTGAAAACAAAAATGTTCATTCTTACATAATACAAAGTGACATTTAGGACTGCATATTTTATATTGTTGCTTAAACTACATCAACATAATCTGTTGTGGTGTTTTATGTCAGAGAATATGGCTTGAATCGACATCAGCTGTGCTATTTTGTAAATTAATCAGTTTTATTTGTCATGGTCTTAACAACACTGAGTCTTAATAGAAAGTGGATTGTACTCTGGATATCTATTGCATATGAATGGTGCCTTAATAACCTCTGCTTCGAATATGAAAAAAATGCTATAGATACATTTAGAGAAACAGCTGGTTAAATGATCCCCCTTTTTAATTTGACAATGAAACGATGTTATTGAAATGTTGTGTGTTGAGTGCTGGTCTGTAAATTAGGTGTGTATTTGCATCTCAAAGTATGTATTAATTTGCCTAAATAAAGCCAAACTATTAAAATGCAATTGCAAGAGTGCACATTATTTTCAGTTGCTCTGCCATAATTGTTTATATGCCAGCAATGTACATACTACACGTAGCAGGGTTGTTCAAGGTTAACTTGCACTTTTTAAAAATGTGAAACTGAGTAAACCTCATCTTATCTTTCCCGGTATTCCCCCACTACACACACAGATTTGTCCCATCGGTATAATAATACCTTCATGCCAGAATGAACGCAGACGTTTTTGGACATCTGCTTTAAAATTCCTCGTCACTGTTTACTGACACGCATCGATGTCAAGCTATTTGCACCATTCACACTTCGACGTGACAGCCCGTGTCACATTTTTATTTGCCAGTAATTGCATTACAACACGTTGGTCTCATGGATTTAGGACAAATTATGCTTACCAACAAAAATCAAAGTGAAATGTTTTTGTCGCGTGCCGATTTCATGTATGGCTCGGCTCCAAATGAAGAATGAGAAAATTCAATCAACAAAAAATACATCAACTGCAACAATGAGCAGCTTGAAAATGGCACTGAGTGTCGACTTCAGAAAATGAGACACGGAGATAATGAATGGGACGGGGGTCTACACGGACATTGCAGATCCAAGGGACAACTCCCGCGTCATCTTGGAAATGCCCAGACTGCTTTGCGAAGCTGTGACGCCATGATGTTGCTGCCACTATCGCTGCTGATTTTTAGTGATCATTAATTATGGTCAAGCTTTGATCTAACTTCTTTTACAAATAAAAAATGTGATCATTTCAAACTAGATTCGAAGCTTTCGTGACTACAGGAATTACTCTTTGGCTCTTTCTGTAAAGTCACGTAGAAAGAAATTAAATAATAATGGAATACGACGTTTCGATTGCAACACAAGCGACCATCATCAAGTAAGAATTAATGATAAAACACAGACACGGAAGCAACACAGGCAGACATACATGCAGAGAGAGACACACAAAGACATACACCAAGACGTGTCTGTTTTATCATTCATTCTTACCTGATGATGGTCGCTTGTGTTGGAACCGAAACGTCGGATTATATTATTTTATTTTCTACGTTACTTTACCAAAAGAACCAAAGAGTGATAATTTCAATAATGTGCTTTCTAACATATAGGAAAACTGTTATCCTTGAACTTATTCCCTGCCAATTCCTTATCCTTTGCAACCGTTGGGTCTGCGAAGACACCCAATATCTGCAGCCCCGTTCTTCCTATTATGAACGATTTCAGCCCTCCCCTGCCCCCCCGTAGATATATGGAGTAAAATCACAGATAACCTTGTAGATATGAGGATCTGTGATATCGGTCCCACCCCCACATCACCATGGACAAGACGAGTTCTGTATTTGACATTACAAAGCAGTCTTAAGAAATCAATTATGAGACAGATTATATTCCTCCCTCGATGAAGTGAAGGATTGTTAAGTATAGCAAACAATGGTACGTTTCACATCACATTATTTTCATGTTGAAAGGCGCACGATATATTGCAATTTACAAGTTATGCTGCAGCTGAGTGTTCACTTTGCATGGGTTTCACTCCCAGTGGTGGCTCTGGCGAAATTGTGCTGTTAGGTTGCATTGCTTCGAAGTCACTTCAGGACGAGTCCCCCGTGGGTCTAGACACCAGCGTAGCAGCTGTCCACAGTGGCTTTGTTCCCAAACTCCTTCCAGAGAGTACATCTGGCGTTTGATGTTGAAGGAATGGGCACACGTCCCACCTCATTATATTGGGCTCCGCACTTCTGCTTACACGGAGATTATCTATTTGAAACGTTTGCCTGGTATTCATGTTTAAATATTTCCCATTTATCGACACGGTAATAATCGCTACATACCTTTATCAATCCACTGCTGGATTAAGGGCTCCAAATGCTGTGGCAGTTATAGAGGGTTGTTTGACCCTACTTCATCTTACTGGTTAGTGTGGGTTTCTGAAGAAGGGCGCCCTGCACCGGTTCAGATATCCCTTCGCCACTGTTGTTAGCTGTGGCCAAAATCTAAATTCAGATCAGTGCACTAACCACTGCGCCACCGCTCTCCACATTGTTTACGATTATGACAATACAGTTATTGTGCTAAATATAACGCTTAATTCTTGTTCAGCTATAAATAATCCATTAATTTTATCAGTGAGTATATTACAGGGATTATTTGTGGGTGGTCAGTTATATTTTACTTTTTAAGTAATACAAACCAGAGTCAAATGCATCGCTGGAGCATACGACATGTTTATCTTTGTGATATGTACTGGAACATTAAAACACATTTTTGAGAATATACACGATCTATTCAATAATGTTTACATTTGCTTTTTGTTAATCTCACTGGCGAACAGAAAAGCACGAAGTGAAAAAAATGGTAATTAAATTAAGCTGTGGAATTTCTACAGCTGTGCACTCATGCTGTAGTGACCGACTGCAATGTTCGCTCCAGCCAGCAAAGGTGAAGCATCGAATCCTCTATCGTTTTGCTCCACCTGCAGACGAAGGAAGCGCAGTGTTTGTCTGTGATGGTGACATCACGGTCCGCTTTCCATTGAGGAAACCCAGGGCAGGTCTGATCTCAGCCCTTCCAAATACACAAACACGCTCTTGGAATCATTACCTGTTTTATTTTCTATACACAGTATGTGTCCGCTGCTTAGAACGGAGGTTGCCTCCTCTCGCTCACCCTGAATACGTTTCATCGTGTCTAATCTCAGAAGCTAAGTATTCTCAAGCCCGGGTTTGTTCTTGAATGGGTCACTTGCCTGAGACTATCAGATGTTGTTAGCTTGACCTGTAGGGAGCTTTGAGGAGTATTCCATTGTAGGTAAAGATGTTTTGACGTTACCAACCTCTCATTAATGGGATTAGTGAAACATCCCATTGCAGGACCCTCCCAAAAAAAAGAGTTGAAACTCAGTTGAGGTTTATCTGGATACCAAACTCAGTTGAGGTTTATCTGGATACCAAACTCAGTTGAGATTTATCTGAATACCAAACTCAGTTGAGGTTTATCTGGATACCGAACTCAGTTGAGGTTTATCTGGATACCAAACTCAGTTGAGATTTATCTGGATACCAAACTCAGTTGAGGTTTATCTGGATACCAAACTCAGTTGAGATTTATCTGGATACCAAACTCAGTTGAAGTTTATCTGGATACCAAACTCAGTTGAGGTTTATCTGGATA